GTTTTTGCAAGCTCCGAGTTGTCTTGCATAAGTTTTTGGTTGGTTTCTTGCACATCCTCTTATAAAGCCCATAACCAAAAAAAAAAAATTGCGAAGGAAACGTACTGTACATAACTCACCATATGCAAAACTACTAACTGTCATTTCATTACTTATTGTTTGTCACCTCTTGACTTTACCACATTAAAGACATTTCTCTTTCAATCTAAGTTTCGAGTTAAGTGTCGGATATTTTTAGGTCCTCAGCCTCCTCCTGGGGTGACATCACTCATTTAAATACTGTGTCTGAAAATAAACATTTCTAATTGTGTAGATGGGCGAATGGATGGAATAATGGACTACCTCAGTCCTCAATAGCCTTGGTATTTTCATAGGGAAATATTGGGAAGTATACAAAAGCTTTATTTTTGGCTCTGAGGCGGTTCAGCACAAAGTCATTTTTGCATCAATGTGTTTAAAAAAACAAAAGGTCAACGAACTATTGTGTAGGACCTTGAACAATTGCGGGCAAGAACTGCTTTACATTTTCAGAGCTTGCTGCAGATTTATTATTCAAATACCAATTATTTTCCACTACAGCAAAAGAATGTATTCTGTGCTAAGGGCTAACATGAACCTTAAATCAGCAGCTTGGTCAGATGACTCAAGTCTATAACAGGAAGTCCTCTCTGAATCAACTCTGTGTTTTAATCGACTGGAAAGTTTGTGGCTCTCTGTTGCCTTTACTTCAGCACTCTGCATGAGGAAGTGCTGATTGCCCCAGCTTCCTCAATCATGATTCTGTTTTGGCTTCTGGCTTGAAGTTAGACTTATTTGGTCAAAATGGAGCTCTACAGTCATGTTTCTTAAAACTGTACCAAGTGATTTTTTTTTTTCCTGGGAGTTTGATTCATGGGCAGTGCCCAGGTTGTCGAAACAGCACTGTTCATCTTCTGAAGTTCCTATTATCTATCCTTTCACACGCTTGTGCACTAGCACAGAAACATTTCAAGTAGCCAAGAACCTTAGAGAACTTAGAAACAGATGTGAGGCCTTTGAAATGCCTGTTTGCGCCCACATATGCAGGGGAGAAGGTCTGAAAACTGTTTTGTGGACAGAAACAGCAGTATGAAGACTATAGGTACTTTATGAATACAGGTCCAACTCTGTAGTATTATCTTTTGCAGTCTTGTATAAAGCTAGTCTTGTTGGGTGTTAACACTGTATTTAACGCTTTTAATTCAGCTGTTGAGTGAGTCATGGTAGCGTTAACACTAAACCGTGCAGGTTTGTGTAGCTCTTCAGGTCTGGCATTGAAGAACATTTTTGCACCCTTAGTAGGCTTGCCTTGCAGTGAGAGTGGGTCAGCAACCAGCCTTCACTGACACCTTTCATTAAACCTCAGTGAAAAACAAGGCTGGGCATTAATCTCCTTCAAAGCCAATAAAGTCTGTGGAGCAAGGTTAGAGAGGGAGAGTGAGAGAGATTCTCACCTTGAGAGGATTATCAGGAGTCTTTGGGGTCTTCTGTATGTGAAAAGTGCAATGCGTTCGTTGCCAGAGGCATAAGACTAAGGAAGTTGAGCATAAAAGAACTAACCTAACACATAGGAAGTGTTTGTTCTGTTTGTTATTCTCTCCTAAGTGTGGGCAATGGTTGGTTGGCTGGTTGCTTAGTGATGACTTTCTTTACTCTGCAGCTAACCTTTAACTATAATTTTACTTTAGCACATTTCAGAAAATGGATATTTAAGATAACTTCTACAAAATAATATTTTACCTGCAACCCATTTGGTCAGGTTTTCAAGACGCACTTGATAGCAGGCCTGCATACATTTCTGAACCTGCCTTTGTCCCTAGGCTAGCTTTTCAGCTGGCAGCTGTGAAGGCAGAACAACTAAACAAACTGAAATTAGCCAGAAATGAACAGAATACAATTCAATCAAGATGTGAAGTGCTTTACAGACTGGCTGGAACAAAATAATAATCTGAGAAGTACTGAAAGAGATGAGCTGAACCTGATATTGCAAGGTTTAAAACTCTATCTGTAATGCAAAAGGGTTCGTTTGGTGGAAGCAATTGTCAATATGAAAGTACCTTTGAGATGTCGTTGAGATGATGTGACTGGCCAGATCCTGTGGATTTGATAGTTAATTGGAAGCAGAACTCGTGCACACGTTTGTGTGCTTCTGAATAATTAATAGTGGTTGTCAGATGCACAGTACATGGTTAATAAGGAGAGATAAAGGTGTGTGTGTGAGACAACAGCAGGGGCCCTGTGTCTGTAGACAGTAATATCGCTGCCAGCTGTTGGGGCATATGGACACAGCCTCCATATTCATGAACAGAGTGCACTGGGACAGGGTGTGCAGAGCTATCAGGAGGGAAATCCCCATTACTGAGAGCTGGTGTACCACACACTGAACAGTCCTCTGAGAATACATATGCTGGAGGTGTTTTATTTTTTATTTTTTAAAATCTAAAGAATCTAAAGTTCTTTGTTAACAGCTGTGGTAGCTCTAAGAAGTGATGTGAGGGTATAAAGAGTTGTTCCTCCACCTTTTGTGCTCTTTTTGTCACAGATACATTTTTTTTGTTTTATTACTCTTTAGGCCAGTCACTATTAATAGGATAAAACTGATTAAAAATTAACTGATTCAAGATTACCTTCTCTGTGAATAGACAGTGGTCAGTTGGTGATTTGAATAATGATAATGCATGCTATTTTTCTACTGCTCTCTTATGCATTTTATGCCTCGTTTTTTATATTTGTTTATTAGTGAATTATTTTCCTACTTCACCTTGAACTCTCTGTTAATAGATAAACCTGGACATATTCAACCTTTGCATTTTGGAATGACTTTTATGAAAAATTCACAAGCTAGAAATGGTAGCTGGCTATAGTGCGTGTGCACGTGTGTGTCTGTACTGTTAGTTTTCTACAAAGCTTCAGAAAAGCCTTTTATTCACAGTGTGGTGGACAGTAGGATGGTAGATTTCTTTTTTTAAGTCATTATATGACTGTTTTTACTTATCTAATTCATATTCATGTATATCTATCTGCCAGAATCTAAATAAAAGATTGCTTATTTAGAGCAAGACTCTGCTGATTATAAACTCATTTGTATTGGGGTGGGACTGTTTATGGATTGTTACTTTTGGTCACCATTTTCAGGGTATGATAGAATTTAACTCATGAAACATCATACTCGTATTAGCTTTTATACCTCCCACTCCCAATGTAGTCATGTTCTTCCTCGTTGGTAAATCAGAAACAGCTCAGTATTCCAGATCTAGATCTACACTCACACAGTCCTGGAAATGAAAGTTCACGAGGCCAGAAGACATTTAAGCTTGCTTAAATATAGTGCTTTTTGTGGCTAGGAGAGAGTGGTGGAAAAGGGGAGGGGACAAAAGGGTTTTGTGGGAGTTTTACTCCAGCCTCTGTAGCTTTAGTAATAGGACTCACTGCCTTGACAACGCAATTTATTTGCACAGGTTTATGTGTGTTGATGTAGAGTGGTTAAGAGCTGAGAGGAAGAGACTTGCTTAACTTGCTTCCTGATTTCATTGCTGCTCAGTGGCACACACATGGCCTAACTACTGTGCTTCTTGACCAAGTCTATAGGCCTGTGGCTTCCGACACCTCTGGTCTCTCAGTCTGCAGAGAGCACTTGCAGCGCTTCTTAACACCCTCTTTGTCCCTGTGTCCTCTCTGCCCTCTCTGTGCTGCTCTGTGTTTGGCTTAGAGTGTAATCATGACTCCGCTCTGTTTTTTCACTCTATCATTTCCTCCTCTACTCTGTTTTGCTCCCTTTCTCATTCGATTTCTACCTTTCTGTATTCTAACTGTATTCGTAACTGGCTGGAGCAAATCAAAGCTTTTGAAATGATCTTACTTTGTTTGGTATTCCACCACTACCCCATAATTTAGTCTAGAGTTTGATTGTTTGAATTTCACCAGTGGTTGTAACCCATAAAAATAAAAAGAATTAGAGGCAAATGTGGTATGGACAGCGAGTGAAATTAAGTGTGTTTAGAGCATGAAGATTTAGTGTGTGGAGTAATCTAGTGTGTGCACTCTGTGGCTTTTCCAGTTCATACAGACTGAATGGAGCAGGTATTGCATGCTGCGTTTGCACAAACTGTAACACTTAATGTCTTGCTTATGGTGCCACTGTTACTCTTGTCACCTCAGCACATCCTGATGCACGCTCTAAACGCACAGTGACTAAATGCATGAGGTGAAGTTTTAAAAATAGCCTGTTGTTGCTTCATACACTTTCACAAACACATGTACTCACACACGTTCTTTCAGTTAGTTTCTGCAGCTTAGTTTTAATAGCACAGTGATGGATATCAGGTGCCAGTATACATTCCATTATACTGACATCCCTGTTCTTTATTGGTTTCGGACAGTTTGAAGAGGTATTGATTAGTGTGGATTCGTCTCTCTCATTGTATGATTCCAGTCACCATGAAGTTCTGAAAGCAAAATAATCTGGATAATAAAGTGGATCTGACTGGAGAAGAACATGTTCTTTTCTGGACTGCAGATGCCAGCTATGCATTTTCTAGTGTAGCTGCACCTTTGCAGCTGTGAAAAAGCTTGCTTGTTTGTTTCCTTTCTCCTGCCAAAATGCTCTTGGCAGAGTGGCAGTGCTGTGAGTTTATAAAAATATCCCCTTCAAAAGTAATTGCCATGAAGATCCATTTTAATTCAATTACTAGATGGAGTGTGTGATTAGTCAGGCCTTTCAGACAATGTCACTTAAAGATGAGAGGATGTCTGAAGGACTACATCTGTGTCTTCACTGTCTTTTCAGCATGTTTCTTTATTGGATTATTAGGTTTCTACTGCCCCCTGTAGGCCACAACTGATATTTAAGTACCATCATCTACGTTAGAATTTCTCCACTCCTGCCTTTCTCAGTTTAAGCTGATGCTCTAGCAAGACCTAAATGTGTTTCTGCAGACCTGAATTCATTCAGAACACTAAAGTTGCTCTCTATCTCTGTGCAGGTATGACTCAGAGAAGGACAACTTTATCGACCTGATGGAGCTGAAGCTGATGATGGAGAAACTGGGGGCTCCACAGACTCACCTGGGCCTGAAGAACATGATCAAAGAGGTGGATGAGGACTTGGACGGCAAACTCAGCTTCAGGGAGGTAAGACAGGCATAAAACCAAAGGCTTGGTAGCCCACATTGTACTAGAGTAAAACTGCGACTGCTGTTTTGGTCAGTCATATCATTGAAAGTTAGTAGTTAACATCTACAATAGTTATAAATAATGTGGATTAATTTATTATTATATACCTAACTACAGTTATGACTATTTCACAGCAGTTAATTCTGCTGTGCAGAATTACATATTAAATATATAATCATTAAAGAGAATATCCTCTTCCTCCCTTTCTGCAGTTCCTCTTGATCTTCAGGAAGGCGGCAGCAGGGGAGCTGGCCGAGGACAGTGGGCTGCATGTCTTGGCACGTCTCTCTGAAATCGACGTGTCCACTGAGGGAGTGAAAGGAGCAAAGACCTTTTTTGAAGCCAAAGTAAGGCACTGTTTCACATTCTTTTATTTAGATATTTTTGTTCTTGAAACAAGTCACTTGTTTCTTTCTGTTTTCGTTTAAACAGTGTACTTGTATTATTAGCAGTAGGTTGCGTCATTCAGAGTGGTTTGATATGGTATGTTTTAGAGGAACTTACTGAGGGTCACGATGTAGCCAATTTATTTACTATCCAAACGAGTTGTGAACTTACATGTGTCTTCTGAGATTTTATATGTAATATAGATAATGGTAATAAATAATGGTGTTAGATAATGATGAATTTACTTTACAGCATGCCTTACAACACTGCATGTACCTCAATTACCATCAAATGTTTGTCAAAACTGTCATAAAACAAAGTTTCAGGCATCAGGCAGTATATACACGGATACTGAAACAAAAAGAAGTATGTGGCCTGTTTCAAGACCAACACCTTACTCTCTGTTCTCCTTTACTTTTTAAATGACTTTGTATTTTATAGTTTGTAAAGCACTTTGAATGATGGCAGTGTATGAAAGGTGCTATATACATAAAATTATCATGCCTATACACAACCATCTCATGCAATAACGTCCGGTGAGGGAGCTTTTAGAGGTATTTAATGTATTTAATGTCTGGTTCCTATCACTGCTGTGAACAATTCTGATTTGGTAAGTTTCTCTAGAACAGAGTATTTCACATCAAACTAATCTGACTGACTTGCTTTAAATCTTATGCAGATATTTTAAAAAAAAACTTCCCTTTAAGTAGCATCACATCAATATATCCATGCAAATTTAGTATGATATGAGCTTATTTCTGATATCATTTCCTCCTGCCAGGTCCACGCCATTAATGAATCGAACCGTTTTGAAGCGGAGATCCGTAACGAGCAGGAGGAGAAGAAACGGCAAGCAGAGCAGAAGAAACAGAGACAAGCGGCATTCAAAGAGCTGCAGTCAGCCTTCAAATGACCGCCTTCGCTAGAAGAGCCCAGCCTAAACCATCCCCCTCCTCACCCTTACTGTCTGTCTGCCTGACTGTGTTTCGTTTATCAGAGCGCCCTTAGCAGAGATACTATGCAAGGCTTTTAGAGGTGTCTGTTCACTTCCTGAGAGAGGGGTCAGAGCATAGTTAATGACTGTAAGTAGCGTATAGTAACTTGAGTCCTTACAGATGCTCTTCTCTTATGGATGTTGAACTTGCAGCCCTCTGAAGCACTTATCTGCCTACATTGGACTGGATGTGTCACTCGGCTCATTTGTACTCTTTTCTTATATTTTAGCACACGCATCTGCATGTGTGAGAAAGCTTTTTCACCTCACTTGGGTCCTGTTCTTAATGTTGTTAAAGTGCACCAGGGTATATACATTTTAAAGGAAGTTTGAACTTGTTTTAAATTTTTAACAGTTTTTGAAATGCAAATTGTTGAATGATATCGCTGCATCCAGTCCATTGTATTCCTATTGTGTGCTGCATCCAATGGTATACCTTGTTTGCATCAAAGTTCCATGGTATCCTTGCTACCTACCTTAGCACAGCAAAGCCTTTGAGACAGCAAACATTAGTACATGCTCAAACCTTGTATGAGAGGGTGTTACTTTTACACTGTGGTTTGGAGGAGCTATGAGTGAGTGCATGTGTGACGGTGCTGGTTGTGGTGGGTGTTTTTGTTTTTGCATGGTCACTGTGATGTCTTGACAATCTTCCCCTTTTGAATGGATCTCTAATGTCAGGTAGTGTTGCTCCCTGCCCCTGTCTGTCTTTTGCTTGCACACATGCAGAAAGAAAACAATCATAGTATTGTCAGTTATTGATACGGCCTGTCACAATCATGAAATTTTAGCTGATGAGTAATTGCCATAGAAATAATTACAATGAACAGTTTATTCGTCTTTTATTCGTCTTTTGTCTTCAACTACTAGTACAAGCCTAAAGCAGCCAGTAGGCTGGTTAGTAGGGGTGCAAAATGATGTCGAAATCGTGTCTGTATCAGCAGATATTTGCTTTGAAAGGAAATATCGGCATCGGACAAATGTTTAGGTTTGACCAATATTTTAATTTCACTTGTGTCTTATACTCTGGAAGAACAGAATGTTTAGCCAACACTGGGTCACAGCACTAAAAGATCTGCATTTTATTAATTTTACTGCATTTATAGCCCATTAAAAATAAATGTTATATTTCTCTGAAGTGCTATTTCAGATAGAAGTAGCCCCAGGTTCTACATTTTATAAATATTTATGTATCTGCATTAACAAGTATGTACATGGAAGATATTGGGTATTGGTATCAGCCTAAAATTCCTATATTGGTGCATCCCTGCTGATTTGCCATCTTGCTTCTTAGCTGTTACTTAGTAGCTACCAGCTGATGACAGAGACGAATAAACTAACATTACTTAGCTCTGCCTTCACACGGTATTGAAGCACCAGTCGGAAGATTGTTGTTGTTTAAGACATGCCATGTCTTGATAAATGTGTTTTCTGCTTTCTGTAGTGTACATGCATTTGCCTCAACCCAACTGATGAAAGCGCACCCAATTCATATTCTGTTTTTGTCGTAAACATAGAATTTTGAAAGCTAAGAACTGTGGGAAATAGGCTCAGACTTACAGCTTTAAACTTAAGTAATTGCAATCAGCTCAAATTATGTAATAATTGTGACAGACCTAATTGCGTTCATTTTTTATCGCTGTGCAATTGTTTCAGCACCCAGTCCTTTTGTGATTTGCAGAGACCAAAATGTTTTCCTACATATTTTCCATGTTGGCAAATAAACCAATGCACTTTTCTTTGCTAATAACATCAGGCACTTGATTTTCATCCATGTTCCAATCTAGCTGTTCTACTGGGAAAGCGTACTCAGGCCATACGTCTGGAAGACTATGCTACTATGCTGCTGGCCATCTATGCTAAGTGCTTCCCCATTTGTATGTTTGTGTGTGTGTGTTTGTGTCTCTAACCAATAACTGTGAGATGCTGATTTGGAGGGAGGGATTTAAGAGAGATGGGCATGATTTTGGGCTCTAAAATCCATCTCCTCAGTTCAACTGCATGAGCTCTTTAGTGTCAGCTGCCAGTGGAAATGTTCTTGGTGCTTCTTGTAATGTGTTGTGGCTAAATTAAATCAGGTGCTGGCATGAAAATATCAGTCTGCTCACCTCTCAGCAAAGCCCTTTAGACTATTATTCGCACACGGTAATACTGTGGCAAGGTGAAGATAAATGTTTTATTTTTAGTTGCCTTACACAGAACAGCAGAAAGAAATGTCTTGCTTTTTTAACGAGCAGAGACAGAATATGCATGCAGTGCAACTTCAAACTTGAGTTAGTTTGTATGAAATTGTAATCCAAATAATAAAGTTTAGTTTAATATGGTAAAACAGGGAACTGCTCACAAATTAATTTGAGCTTTCGAATTAGTGTTTTTAATATTCGAATTGAATTTCAGTAGTTAGTCAAAAAGAAAGAAACTGGCAGCACACAACAGCACAGGTAACTACGAAATGTATAAAGAATAGAATATTTTTTCATGAAATAAACCTAAGATGCTTTTAGTTTTGTATAGTGAGGAGTCTTGTGAAAACAAGCTTATTTTCTTGAAACGGGCGTCGTCCACAAATTTGTTTCCCTGTAGGACAATGGCTGTGGATGTCAACTGTTCCTCACATTCAGAGTTGTATTCTGTGATAAATATTAGTGTTTTCTTTGTTTGTTTTTTTTAATGTTGGAAACAATGTTGTGGACTGTTGCTATGCATCGTGTTGTATTCATAAAATGTCTAGTACAATATATTCACTGGCAACTTGTCTTATTGTCTTGTGAAAATGCAAACAATATGCATGAATCTGTTTCACAGTCCTGATATTTCACTTTGTCCATTTCCTTATGTTTTTCCTTTCACTGTAACCAGATTAAATGTGCAGTGGATATTGAGAGATGAATGTTGGAGTGCATACAGTGGCAGTTGCCAAAATAATGGAAACACTTGAGTAAATGAGGGATACAAATGACATTGAGGCCGGTGAAAAATAATGTGAGCCACACATAATACAATTCAATCCAACTGGAGAATCTAGAGCAGATTTCACGAGATGTTCCGTGATATGGTGTTTCTAGGATAATAGAAAACCCTGTTTCAGTGGTTATGCTGGATTCCACCATGATTGTCCCAAGTTGTGTTCATCTGCAAAAGGTCCCATCGAAATACAACTGCTTTAGGTTTCTACATTAGAATCCCTCATTTATTTATGTGTTATCATTTCAAAGGCACTTACCAGAAAATCAGTGATTGGTGGATAGAGGACCAATGCTTTCTAATTACACCAGTTTTCCAACTCCATCTTCTGTGCAGGGAGCCTAAATTCTGTATTATTGCTAGATGTGGTTCTGATTTTGTTGTCTTTTCATGGTTGTTTTACAACACTGTGCCAAATGCTTTAGCAAAGTTCAGTTCCTTTTCCATAAAACCTCATTTAGTCATTTATGATCTTAAGTCATGTATTTAAGAGCAGGAAGAACACAAAAAAGTGCATTGCATGTGGCTCCCAGCACTGGGATTGTGAACCACGGTTACACTTCATATCAGTTCATTTTAGTTCTGTCCTTTGGAACCACCAGTCAGTTCATATTATTGTTCTGCATGTGGCTCTTGAAGCAGGTTAACATGGACTGACTGTGGTCACAGTGCACTGTTTAGGGAACCTGTGGACTCTGTTAGTGCTACAAAGCTTATATGGATGCCCTCAAATGATAATGATCTTGAGCTCTTAGTAAATTCTAAAAATGCAAAAACTTAAAATTGATGCTTTGTGCAATGTAATGGTGCAACATTATGCAATTGACAGAGATGGATGAGTCCAGAACTGTAAGGTAACAGAGAACCTGGCAAACAAAATGAAAAATCACAGTGATTAAATGTTTTATATTTCATGTTTCCCACGCATGCAATCCTCACATTTTTCAAATCCTTCGAATAAAAGGGTTTCAGTGGCCTTGTGCCATCTTTAGCCGTATCTTCTCGTCATTGTCTGTCGGTGGTGTTGGTTTTATCCTTGTGTAGGCTTATGATTATTAAGTGGCTAAATATGTAGTTATTTTTTGTATAATTCTTATGGCAATAAAAACATTTAACATTAAACTTCTCAGGTGTGTGTTTCACAGTCATTTGAGAAGAGTAGCAGAAATTACATTTGGGGTTTTGAATGCCCTATAAGAATACGCTTACAACACAATCTGGTGTTGAGGAAAATAGCCTTCCTACAGAGAAAGTTTGGATTTTGGCAGGTGGACCTGACAGACGTGCTAAAAACAAATATAGTCAGCACAATCTGAGACAACTAGTGTCAGAAGCCATAAATCAAAATAAACTTTTTTTTTCTTTCATATTGTTTAAAGGGGAAAGCAATGGTTTGTTATTATTGTGTACATTTCCCATCCAGAGATTAGTTGGGAATCACACCAACCATTAAACACAACTTACGACTGATGTGAGAGAGACGTTCAGGGTAAAAGAACTAGTTTAAATAATGACCCCACTTTATATCGGCCAAACCCTTTAAATAATTTCCAAAAGTAAAGGACAGAAAATGATTAGTGTCTTACTTAACGATGTGTTGCGCTTTATGTTATTGACTGGATCTGCGTCGTCAGAAGCGGACCGGGGTAATGCTTTTATTTTGTCTTCGTGTTTAAATTGTAGCTCTACTCACCAATTGTCGTATTTTTTTTTTTTTAAGCGATAAAGGTCGCTTAGTTAGATGGGATCCAACCGTTGAACTGTCATGAAAATGTAATAATCTTCAAACATTAAATACAATATATAACTGATATGCAAGAAAGCTCCAGGGTAGAGTAATTAGTTTAAATATTGGCATTACCGTATATTCGTCGAGCTCCTTAAAAGTATGGTAAATCCTCACAATATCTAAAAGACGAAAGTCTGATTTTATTTTTGAATGGGTCGCGGTTGGCTTTTATTTTTGACGCACACAAAGCAGACTTGTTGTGCACTTTTATTTTGAAAATTAATGTGAGCTAAAGGTCGCGCAGCCGCTGTCTTCACAAGATCGCGCAAAGACGCAAACAAGACTCATCTGCGTTTCAGGAGGAAATAAACTGAGTAGAAATCCTGTTCTGGGCAGGAATTTGGGATTTCACAGTTTACATTGTATAAATAATTGCACGTCTACCGAACTATATGATCTTTATGCTTAAATCGTGAATATATTTAGCTACTAAGTTCACTGTAAATAGCGCCGTAGCTTAGAGGCTAGCGGTGAGCTAGCGTTAGTTAGCTAGTGTATCTGTCCACCATGAATGTCGACGTTCCACAGACGGTCACCAGCGGAGCAGTGACCAACTCCTCAACATCGAGCAACAGCAGTAACTGCGTCCCAAACAGCAACTCTGCTGCGAATGTCAGCAGTATCCCCTCAGCAGCGAGTAGTAATGGTGAGTAGACCGGCTGGGTGTAAACAGCTAGCTGAGTTAATATGGCTGGCGCTGCTATCTAGCTGGAGTTAGCAACCACCTTACTAGCTAGCAGGTTTTTAAAATACATAAACTTGGATTGTTTTGTAGTTGTTTGTGTTTAAAGATGTCTACTGTATATGATATATCTTTCATACATGTTTATTTTTCGGTGCTGATACATTTAGCTAGCTAGGTTTGCGTTACGCCCCTAATTTTACAAGTAGCTAGGTTAACTTAGCCATGCTAGCTAGCTAACGTCTCTAACTTCGCTTTGTGACAGGTCAGTTACTCCCGGTGAATTAGAACCATTTAAGACATTTCTAATGCACTTCACTGTTCAAGAATGAAATGATCGCTACCAGCTAACCTAGAGAACCATTCTTTCTCTGTGGATGGAAATATGAACAAAATTGATGTTCTCCAGTGAAAGTAGTTCAGGTAATATAAGATAGTACTCTGATGGGACAGTGGGTCAGGAAATAAGTTACAAGTTACATTATAAGCAGTGAACTATTTTTTTTTTTAAATAAAATTGTTAAATTAAAACAGAATGCACTTGTAACTTAATGCTTTAAATCTGTAAGACAGAAGTATTAAAATCAATACATGCATAAATGTTCCTGTGTTAACCGTCTGAACCAGTTATTTTAGTGGTGGAAATTATGGAATTAATTTTAGCTTGTAATCCATAATTGTTGCAGTTAGAAATTGATAGAATTACAGGCTCAAACTAATTTCTTACTAAAGTTAGTAGAAATTGAATTGTAAATGTACAAATGTAGTTGTTGCTTATAAGATTTTGTATTTTTATATGTACGAACTGAATTAAGAATTAAGAAGTATTTTGATGTAGCAACTTTTCACTAGTAAGAAATCAATTCAGACATCAAAGCTGAATCTTTATTTGTGGAAATTAAATTGCAAGTGTTAAATTTTAATTATGAGAATGGAAACCTTGCATGCTAAAATGTTTTCTACCAGTAAAAGGTGATGTTAGAATTAGAATTTTTTAAGGTCAGAATTATTTATTTATGCATAGTATTAAAGCGCTTGTTCAAATATAATTAATATGAAAATGACTAGGCTTGCCATAAAAGTGTTGGTGCTTTACCCATTACCCAAGTATCGATGGTAAAAATGGTCTCTCTTGCTGTTGAACACCTAATTGTTTCCTTCACGTTTTACCCTGTTTTTTGTACTATAATACTTTATACTAACAATGTTTACTATCCGGTGTCGACCAGAGGAGGATGGGTTCCCCTTCTGAGTCCTGGTTCCTCTCAAGGTTTCTTCCTGTTTCTCTTAGGGAGTTTTTCCTTGCCACTGTCGCCACTGGCTTGCTCATGGGGGCTCGGACCCGGACTTCTTTTTGTAATGCTCATTTCCTTGTAAAGCTGCTTTGTGACAACACCTGTTGTAAAAAGCGCTATATAAATAAACTTTACTTACTTACTTACTTACTTGCTATTATTTCTTCAAACAGTCCCAACCTCAGCTGCCATGGCAACACCATCTTCGGACTCTTCGGTCTCCAATGGACTTTATGTGCCCACAGGAATAGCCAATGGGGATGTGAAGCCAGTCGTATCAACCACACCGTTGGCTGATTTCCTGATGCAGCTGGAAGATTACACTCCTACAGTGAGTCCCCTGGACTTAACAATAATGATGTCTTAATGTATTTTTTTCCTTTCTTTTCTTTTATTGGGCTTGTTCACCAACTTTTTTCCCCTCCATTAGATCCCAGATGCTGTTACGGGCTATTACCTTAATCGTGCAGGCTTTGAAGCATCAGATCCAAGGATGTAAGTTTACCTTTGCAAACTCCAAACATGTTTCTAGTCCATTCTAATCACTGTGTTTTCAAGTACAGCACATACTTATGCCTGGAGTAATGCAGATTTAACATACATCTGAACACCGCCTTAAAATATTCAGCTGCAAATCCTTGACCTTTGTGTCTGTCACAAAGACGTGGCCAGAGACAGACGGACTCAGATATGTCTACATCTAAATATGTGAAGAGTAGATGTAGTACCTTGTTTAAAACTTGGCATTTCTCCAATTACAAGCTTGTTCCAGCAGTTGATTTCCATTGCCAGGGCTGATCCATATTGTCTCGAGCAGAGAGCAAATTCAGTTTAACCATTTGACCAAATGGCCAATTATAAACCATACATGTGTATAGCCCAAAAATACTGAAAAAATCCTGTACTACGAGCCTGTAAAAACAGTGTGGTGATTGTGTGCAAAATGTTTGAAGCAGTAATGTCTACTTTCACAAAAAAACCTGTATCACCATCGGCAGCTATTTAAAGAAAAATGTTTACTATATTTTAGTCATTTAGTGAAATATAGTGAATGGTGCTTTTGCAATCACATATCATTGTGATATCTTACAATTATCAAGTTCATATCATTTATTAACTTCCGTTACTGTTTGACGAAAAACTTTTATTTTTAATCGTAGTTCATCACTTACGATTTGTCAACTTTTAAAGAACCCATGTTTTTCCTTCCATGCATACAGAATCCGTCTGATCTCTTTAGCGGCTCAGAAGTTCATCTCAGACATTGCTAATGATGCACTGCAGCACTGTAAAATGAAGGGCACTGCTTCTGGGAGCTCCAGGAACAAAACAAAGGTTTGTAGAGTCTGTTTATATAAACACAGTCACACTTTACCACCCACATCTCAGGAAGTGGTGCCTTTGAGATAATGTTTTATAAAACTTGGCCAGAAATCTGATTTTGTTGTTTTTAACCCTGAAAATCAGGACAAGAAGTACACACTGACGATGGAGGACCTGACCCCAGCTTTATCAGAGTATGGCATCAACGTTAAGAAACCCTATTACTTCACATAAACAGCTCACGCTTGTTGAATTGAACTGCTGAAAATAACGTGGGATATAAGCGCCTGTGAGTGATGTTCATTCCTTGGAGACATGATTGACCACGATGGACTGAAATCCCAGTTTAGTATGACCTTTCTGTGTATTTACCAACATTTTTATTTTGTTCAGACCACATCTGGCTTGTTATCTGATGTTGGTAATACTGTATTGACAAAAATAAACAGGATTTGTCTCTGCTTTCCTTAATTTCATGTTGGCCAATGTTTAATTCAGAAAATATTACATTATCCTGATGTACTCAGTTTTACAGAAAAAATTACAGGTTTACTGGAAAAAGTGATTTCCAGTTGTATTTAATGGTAACTATAGCAGTTTTACGATCTTTACTTAAGTATGTTTTCTCTTCTCTTCTGCTTTGTGACTTAAGTTTCCATGCCATAAGAGGACACTGACCTGCTTATGTATTAATAGAATTGGAAGCTGCTCTCGTGTTTCACTTCACTTGCGGTTCCAGGCCTCCAATCCTGGACCTCACAGGACTCGAGCCTTTGTACTCCTTAGGAACGGAGATAAGATTCCCAGTTAATTGTGTATTAGAATATTAGTTCTGTGCGTACCATTTAAACTGTCGCTGTGTTAATAAACATTCAGTTTTTGCATTTACAGTTATTGCACTGTAGTTTAGTGCTTTTCCTTCTGTAACTCTCATGACTCAACCGTGAAGTCAGTGGCATCCACAGAAAATTCCACAAAGCAGTATTTATTGAATAGCTGGAAGAATTTGTCCAGCCCTGCTGTATGTACCTAAATACCTGCTGAGTACTGTGTTCTGTGTCTCCATCATACTGTTAGTAAAAGATTAAAAAAAAAAGACAGTCCAGAACATTTCAGGAGTCGAGGTCTCTGCTTTACTTCACATTCATATCATAGTTACAGAGGGGTGCAAACAATAAATGCCACAGGTCTTCTCAACAATAGAAAGGAAATCCCGGCAGTTCCAGAATCTGAGATTGGCTTGGAAATACTTCTTTCTTCTCTGTTTTACTCTGTAGTGTAATTGTCATCTATTCAAGATACTTTGGAAGATTGCTGAGAACAGGTTTGGTAGAAGTCATGAAATACAAAAGTGTTTCATAAAACAAATGGAAAAAGTTCCACTTTTCATGGCTGATTCCATGCTGAAGGCACTGTATGTTCAGAGAAATCAGTCTCATTGGAATCCAGCCTGTCCAGAACACAAGCATCAGCAGAGAAAATAGTATAGAGCAGCTAATCTAGCATATCAGATCAGTTAATAAAGCTTTTTAAAGCTCTATTGCAATATGAATGTGCTAAAATAGAGCAGATTGCAACCAGAGTTTCAGTATTCAGTGTATTCACTGTGTTGTGTGTTTCTCTGATTGCAGTATTTGTGCAGAAGTACTTAAATGTCTGTAAAAATATACAGACAACTTCATATGTATCCAGGCCTCAACCTGTTTGGAACAGTATGAATTTCTTTACAGATGAGACAAACTGTCCACTGTCCGCACTCTAAAATGTGCAGAACATTACTGCAGTAATGCAGGTGTATCTCCAGTCTGAAGACATCCACTACACCGGCTATCATGCTTGGGTGTTTTTTTTAAACATTTATCAGAAGAACATTTATCACAATGATTCTTTGTAACCCATCCTTATACACTTACACATGTTAAAATTAACACTTCATTATATCCTTGCAGTTATGGATGGACCAGTGACCAGTTTAACCATCTTAATAAAAATAATAACCTATCAAATTTTACGTTCTTTATACACCTCAATCCCATTAACTTCTCACCGCTGTGTGCCACTGGCATCGTCCAAAGTGAATCAAATACAAGAATATATTTATAAAGGTACCCTTGTCACAATATATTGTCTCTCAATTAAATATGTTCTGTACATTAACGGTTCAAAGATGTACCGGAAGATCAATTAAGACATATTCCATGTCCTCCCAAAAGGAGTAATTTCCTGCCCATAATGTATGAAATATGTAAGAATTAGCTTCAATAGGCAAGAAGTTATCCAGTCCCACCTTGTAAAAAATCCAGACTCAGTGAGGAAACAAGTTCTGCTCCTTGGTTCTTTTGGGCACCAAAGGCAACGCTCATTAACTCAAATGACCCATACTAAAGTAAACACAGTGCCACACCTCACCTGGGCTAATCTGCAGTCACACAGTTGCTCCTTCTGCCACTCAGTGGCATGGATGGCAAAAATAACTCATCAAAGATCTATGTTGGCCAAGTGTTCTCTTACATTTTTTATTTCTACAAAACAAACTACATTTTTTGAAAGAGGCGCCTGTAAAAGATCTTTGTTTTTGTTTAGAAAACAACCAGTCAACAACGTGATACAGCATTTAGTGAGGTTGGTGGACTTTGTGTTTCCAGAACAGGCTTTGGACTCAATGTATCTTACACTGGGTAAAGGTCTACACTGCAGTGGTGGGGTCCTTCGGCTCGGCAGGCTTGGCACTGGGTGGAACTGGGATGGGACGTCTCTTACGTTTTACTGGTTTCCCACTCCGCCCGTTCAGCATTCCCTTGGCGACTCCCTCCATATCCTCTACGCTGATATTCAGGGCTTCTGCCATCTCCTTCTTAGTCACGGACACAAACTTAGGGTCTTCAGCCAGCGTGTCAAGGCCACCGTCTCTCAATGTCTAAAAAGTAAAGAAAAATGCAATATAGTAACATTTTGAGGTTCCTAACTTGCTAACACAGACAAGTTAAACTGTCTTAATGCGGTTTACCTGTTGGATGAGTTGGTCAGTGGCCGATGACTCTGTCTCTGTTGCTTTTTGAGTGTTTGGCTGACCATATGAAGGATCATAAGGGAACTGAGATAGTACATAAAATACAGAAATGAAGAGTGAATAAAGGCAGTAGCCATTTTGCTGTACCTTATATAGGGCTGGTTTACCAGACCCAGATTAAGGCTAATCCTACACTAAAACAATTTCCAATGGGGATTCACCAATGGCACTTAAATTTAGGCAAGACTAGACTTAATCCATGTCCAAGACATTGTCCCATCATGCCCAGCTAATTGCAATGGCAATGACTCTCTACTGTAAATTCTTTTTAGTATAGGATTAACCTTAATCTGGGTATGGGAAACTGGCCCATAATGTATTATCTCATAAAAATGTCTTTCAATTCATTAGACTGAAATTGTTTTTTAATTTATATTACCTGTGTAATGTCGGTTCTGACAGTGAAATTTGATTGGCTTCTATCATCAGCATCTCTGATGGATGAGGCTCCGCTGAGGAACATGCTGGAGTCTCCTGTTTAGTTTAGAGTTCTCTTTACTTAGGAGTCTTAAACATTTAGTGAGTTTTGTGCCACACAGTATGTTTAAGATCTTATTTTACTTACTTAAGTCTTCAAAGGATTGGTCTCTAGTTCCAACAGCTGATTCTCGCTCTATCATGAATCTGCATGTTTGAAATGATGAAATAAAGAGTTTTCATTCATGAATTAATGGTGTTCATACAGTACAGACTTTCTTTGATGGTTGTGGTGTATATACCAGATACTGATACACAAGAACTATTCCCCTCATCAGATCTACAATAGTCAGGGCTGAAATCTAGTTTTATAGGAACAAACCTCTTGGGGGTTCTTTTACTCTAACTTGTATTCCAAAATTCCATTACAGGGAATGATTACGTAGACCTTTAGACCTTTGGGAGATTGTTGACTGTTTTTGCCTTTATAAAAAAAATGCTGTGTAACTCTGTGATCACCTTTCCTAGCCGTATAAACAGGTAGGTGGAACAGGCTTCATCTTTTTAAAGAGAGTAAAGCACCCACCCCTCAATGAAGTTGGCGTTGTTGTTGGTGTTAGTTCTGGTTGGTGTTGTAGGGAAGAACTCAGCGTTGGGGAGAAAGACCGAGTCAGGAGGAGACTCCACATCCTCTGGGCGAGTCTCAGACAACTGCAAGGGCCGCTGGCTGGTCTGAGCTGAAGTGGGACTGCTGGGCTCAGACGCAAAGGGGTCTGTGTTGGTCAAACCAAACAGACCACCAGTTCGCTGTATGTTCACAGACAAAGAAGATGTGATCATTAAAGGAAGTTTAAAGACAATATTATCATCACTAAACATTTTGGAGAAAAATTCAATGTACAATTGAATTCAATGTTCAATTTTTCCCATATAACCTAAATGTAGTCGATGAGGCAAGACCTGTTAGTTGTCTAAAGTTATTAGTTTTGTACCAGAGCTACGAGGCTCATGTGGCTAACAAATAATGGAACTTGTGCTTAAAAACTTTCAATGTAGCACAGTATTTGATTCATGTTATTTAAATAGGGACCTGATTTAAAACTGAAACATTTTTAAATGGCAATTTGCCCCATCAAAGAGAAAATAATGTCTTTATGCTGCAAGTTTTGCTAATAAAAATTACTAGAAATGTGCTAGAAAATTTCACATGTTCGTTTACCCCACACAGTGTGATCTTCGGATTATAAAAAGGCTAATATATGAATCAGCCCAAAAAATTAACCAGTGTGCGCGTTTTGTTCAGTACTCTCAGACGGACTCGTTTATGTGGTTTCCGATACTATATGTCATACTGATATCTATAAAAATGAACAAAAGTACGGAAATGAGACGGCTGTCACTGACTGTTGTTCTTAGCTATGCAATATGCTTTTATCCAACTTAACAGATAACAAAAGACAATATAAAACAAGTATATAACCAAGTCTATCTAAAATTTTATATTTAAATAATGTAAGCTTATAACCTACCAGTTAGCACTGCTGAAAAGCTTGCGTAAAACATCACACATTTGCCTCAAATCATATCAGCTTTTATTAAGACGAAAACAATCAGTAATCTGGTCTTAAGGTCTAAAGGCCTAAATAAACATTCCCTGTAATGGAATTTTGGAATACTAAATGGTGGGTTATAAGCTTACATTACTTTTTAGCTTACATTAGCCTCATAACTAGCCGCAAAGCTAAAGAAACAAAACTGCCCTGGCCAACCAACTACATCTGAGGTAAGTGGAAAATCATGTAAACTAGATTTTTCGCTGAAATATTACTTTAATATAGCTTAATATATATTTTTTTTAATTTCTTCAATTCTTTTTTCACCATTAACCAACTGACCATACCAGACAAAGTTCTAAGTAATTATCTTTCATTTTATATATTTCTAATTATATGTGTGTAATTATAGCTTATGGCTCATGTAAAGAAGTCTTTGCTATACTAACAACCATAAACTGTGCATAAAAAGTAGCATGGGATTCCCAGTCGTAACACACTAATGAATGTTTGTGTGTATTTTGGCTAGACACTTGGCAAAAAGAAGTTCTCAGAGGTTTATTCTGAGTGCCACTCTAACTGTACTAAATAAAAAAGGATGTCTTATTTATAACCAGGGAGTCCGGTTCCTTCGAGTGGATTCCCTAGTTATAAACCAGTTTTCCATTAGAGATGATTGTGAATATTACCCTGTAGATGCCCTCCTCTCCTCCCTCCGTGGCTCTCTCCATCTCATCCTCAGCGATGAGGTCTCCTGAGATGGCCCGGTGGAGCTCAGGGGCAGCTTCTTCTTCAATGGTGCGCAGACCAGCCTGGAGAATAGAGGAGCCAAAGACAGAGAAAAGAAAATAAAGCAAGCATCTTAGAATGGAATGTTAGAAAGAAATAAAGTTTAATAATTGCATAGATTACACTGAGATCACGCCATTGATTCAGGTTTAGGTGAAAGGAGGAGGGGTGGAAGTATACATAGGGGTTATCTTACTAATGCCAGTTGAATCTGCACTGAAATCTGTTAAAATGACAATATCAAAGTACCTGAATCTCTGCTGCGCTTTTCTTTGTAGGCCGGTAGCCATAGTACTCCTCTTGGCGCTTCATAAACTTACGGAAATGCTCCTGAAGCAGGAAGGTGGCATAGAACTTCCCAACAGTGACTTCATCCTCTACAGCCAAGCACATCACATCTTAATCAGAACCAAGGAACTGTCTATGCTTTTAAAATAGTAAAGGCTTAATCCTGCAGATTAAGGGAAGGGAAATTAAAGAACACTGGATCACATCATTTTTACGCTGTACTGGGGGTAGCTTACCTCCAATAGGTGGAATGACCTGGTCCAAAAGTTTCATACTGGTCCGTTTCCAGATACTCTTAATAATAAGTCTTAACTCCTCATTAGCCTGTTCAAAGTTTCCTGACAGACACAACACACAGAATATTTTGTGAAAAAAAAAAATTCAGATCAAAACGTAAGGCTTATATTACAGCGTTAAAGGTTCTGTCCAGCATTTCATACCTTCAGTTTTAATCTTAAGATCTGTTCTGACTAAAGCAAACAGCGTGGCATTGAAGGTGACCGTTCCATCGCTGTTCAGGGGCATGTTCATGGAAATCAATCGCTGTTGTCAAAAAGAACGAAGGACAAATTAAGGTTTTAGTTTTCTGTAAACCAATGCTGTAAAGTCTTAACCCATATGGTCTTATATGGGTACAGACTCTATACAGCATTATAGCATTATGTTATAGTTATGATACAGCTAAAGCCTTAAAATTTCCCTCTATTCTATAAAATAAAAGATTTTGACGTAGCATGTAAACACTGTTAAAGTATCAGAATGTGCCATTCATCGAAACTAAGTCGCAAAAACAACCCATTGTGATGTTAATGTTTTTGTGATGTCATGAAAACCAACACATTTGCATGTATCTGCCTTTTTAACCTGCAGAACTTTAGCCCCACTCATTAACACTGAAGCTTAAAGGAGTGTTTCAGCCTGGACTGCTTTTTCAATAAGACATGACACCAGGCAGCCAATCAAAACAGAGGTCATTTGCATACATCAGTCTTAAAGACACAGTAACAAAAACAGCCTGTTTAGATCTAAGGGATAAAGAGGGTTTGCAAAATAGTCAGATTTAGTAAAAATGAATTAGTACTGTTTTTGATACACAGAACTAGACAAACGTCATAAGACAACTTTTGGGAAAATTACATGAAAAAATGTAGAACATGAGCCCTATAAAACTGTGATTCCATTTGGCTTACCTTGCATGCGGAGCGGTGAGGACAGAATTTACCAAATCCCAGTGGTGGCTGAATCCTTCGGAGAAGAGTCACCACATCAAGATGTTTAATCCGGCCCCTTCAGATTGAAAGCAATGATTGTTTTCAGTCACACCAAAGACATTAAGAAGGCAGGATGTATGTGAGAAATAAAGACCACGAGGCTCCTTTTTTGGGTGTTTGACTCACGTCGCCTCAGGATCATACTCCGCCCAGATCTTCTTGAACTCATCCAGATGGTGTGGACCAAGGATCGACCAATCACGGGTGAGGTAGTCAAAGTTGTCCATAATCACAGCCACAAACAAATTGATAATCTACAGAATGGGTGATAAGTTTATCATTGGGCAATTAGTTCACAAGCACAATGAAAAACAATGTCTGCTGTAAAATCTGCTCATCAGTGCTGACTGAGCCGTACTGAAAAACAATCATGCCTTTTTAATTATCTTACATTTTTATACTTGCTTACCAAAAAGGCGCACAGCATGTTGAAACTCAAGAAGTAGAAAACAGCAAAGTTGGTTCCACAGCTGTATTCCTCTCCAGGAGCGAATTCTGATTTTGGATCACAACGCTTCCCAGACATGCAGGCTAGCATGATCTTCTGCCACCCCTCACCTGTGACAGTTCTGCAGAGCCAAGCAGAGTTCAGTTTCTGCCATTTGTATCATGTTCTGATATCTGGATCATAGAATTGTCTAGGAAACATTAGACACACCGAAACAATAGCAGAATGGCTTGTGGGAATGTCTGGAAGTTGTTGTTGCGATTGATCTCCGTGCCATCCACCAAGGCTATCTTACCAAACACCTACAGAGGGAGAGAGAACAGGCAGAGAGAGTTAATTAGGGACACTTACCTAGACATTCATTTGAATTTTTGGAATTATCATACTTTCACCTACATGTGGAAAAGTTGAAGATAAATAAGGAAGAGCGTAGCCAGCAACAAGATAAATTATACAATCAGATGAATCATGAACAAACAGAACAAAGGATATTCTGGAAAAACTATCTATATGGTTGCCAGGGGACAGAATCGACCTGATATCACTTAATAATAATGCTAGTGTGTGTGGAATTGGTGCAAATAAGAAGTTGGAAAAGCAGCATTGTTGGGGTTTTTAAACATCTCAGTATCACTGCATGGTCGAGAAAAGTCCACCAACCAAAAATGTCCAGTCATCAGTGGTCCTGTTGTCAGAAACTGACCACTAATAAAGGTCTAGAGCAGGGGTATATATGTTCCTGGGAGGCAACACCTTAGTCAGCTCAACTGTTAATTGCCAGGTTTAAGGAATGTGTTTGAGTAGGAAAATGACAGGAATACCCCTCGTTTAGAGATTAACACAAACTGGGCATGGAAAAAGATGAGCTAACTGCATGCCTACAATGTGTATCAAAAAAAAATAAGAGTATGAGGAACTACAGTCTTGAAGACAATACAATAAGGTCAGAGAAGCTCACCTGCATCCCTATGACGGCATAGATAAAGAAGAGCATTAGTATGAGGAGGGCCACATGAGGAAAAGCCTGGAAGAATGAGAGAGTGAGAGAGAAAGAAAGAGAGAGAGAATGTTACTGGATTATACTGATAAAAACCGGTCAAATAATTTAATTACTTGCAATGATTCACATTACTTATCGCAACATCACTACCAAAATCTATACAACACTGTCACTTTCGGCATCCATCTGAAAAGGTTTTATAGTAACACTCTATGGGCAAAACCAGTCTGACCTGGAACGACTTAATGAACGTCCACAGCAGGTTGCGAATGCCCTCGGAGCGGTTCAGCAGCTTTATCAGACGCAGCACACGGAAGAGTCGGAAGAAGGTGATCGATACTCGAGCATTTTCTTCATACTATGATTAAGAGAAAATGCAGAATTTAGAAAGTGGAGAGAAGAAAATAAAAGATTTAACATTAATAGGTAAGTATGATAACACCAAACATGCATACTAATGTCTACAGACACTTACAGCAATGGCCTGCATTGGGTTTGTTTCCTGAGAAGAAACAGTAAAAAAAATTAAAGTAGACATTACCCATCCTTGCATTTTCATAATGGTTAAATAATGTAATGTAATGCCTCACTACATATTCAATGGGGTAGAGCAGGCAACTTAAACAGACTAAACAAGCACATTTGCTTCAGTATAAACTTCTTTGTCTTATTCTGTTATTTAGTGCTATTATCACTGGTGTTACTAGAGAAAATACATGCAATATGACAGCTGGGCAAAAATGACATTCCATATTTTGCATGGTTTAAATTGGATTTACCAACCAGCTGGAAGGTCAGTAAATTTAGCCCACAATCATCATTTTGGAGTTGGTTAGATTACTATATTGATTTTCAGAAAAGTAAGAATATTTAAAGACCCAGCACAGCATTTTCCTTTTTGTTTTTCCCAGTAGCAAGCCTGCCTGCATACCTCTGTTTTATTGCAACATATGCACTGAGAAGTTTAAAACTTTTGTTAAACTGCATCCCGAGCCACCTTTTTGGAATTATACTTCATTTGGTGTTAATAATCCTCTTAGTGCTAAAATGCTTTTGGGAAATCCTCTGGACTGGTGCTGGGATACAGTTTGTCTGTCGTTATCTACATCCACAGCCTGAAGCAACAAAAATAATCAAATCAAATAATCAATATTAAAAATCAGTGAGATCTTAAACATTTTTATTGTTGTCATATAATCATTAAGAAATGTCAGCTGTATCTGCTCTGCCATTGTATGTTAGCATCAAGCTAACAGTGCTGTTTGTTCACTGTCCACACAGGTGGTTTAATACTTCTTATGGTAGCAGTAGGCTGCCGTATATCTGTTACCATGTTAGCTCTCTGATGAGCAGATTGTTTCAAAAACTGCATTCTTATGTAGGGTTTGTTTAGTACATTTTCAAACCTTTTACTCCTAAAATGAGTGCAGATTTTTGAATATACATATCGCTGTTTTTCAGTTTTTGACATAATTTTAAAAATCCTGTTGTCCTTTACATTGTACATTGGAAACAGTACAAAATGACTTGAAAAAAAGTCTGGTTCCATTGACTTACATTAAAAGTAAAGCATGTTTTTTCCTTCTCCTGTAAAGTTTGAATAACCAAGCTCATCCTTAGTTTGTGTTCTGTACTAGCATTCTCTTCAGACTTGTTTGTGTAAAGTCAGGTTAATATGACGTTCCTGAAAATAAACTGCACTGAAATGCTGTCAATCAAGAAGTGGTCATGAATACACAATATGTAGAGGGCTGAGCCTACACAGTGAAACGGAAAAAGCCAATAAAGAAAGTGGACAGCATGAAACACCCATTTTAATGTCCTTTTGGAAAAATTTTGGACGGTGACTGAAATGTATGAAATAGCCACTGTGCTGGGTCTTTAATTCCTAAACTCATCTAAATGTTTTTAAAAAAAGAAAGCCTTTCAAACTAATAAGCCATAATTAGGGCAAGTCAGTTTGAGCCTTGTAAGCTTATCTACTAACAGCGTGTAAGCGTGTATAATTCCTTTTCTGTTTCTCTGTTCTGCTTTCAGTGTTAGAGCGGTCAGAGTGTACCATTGTCAGTAAACCTGTTCACACGGCAAGGCCCATGCAGCATAAACTGATATTTACAGCACAGCCGTGGAGGCAGTACAGTCCACCACTGGACTCCAGAGCGGCCTGGAGGAGACACGGCGCAGTCAGATGGTGATGTGAGAGAGACATGAAAGTTGGAGGGTGGAAGATGGAAGAAAGGAGGAGGCAAGGTTTAAATGTGGAGGATGCAAAAAAACAACAGATTTGAGCTACATGACATAATAACATAACCATAATAACACCATACCAAACAGTGATGGGTATATGAAGGCAAAATATTAAAAACAAAAGCACAGAGCATAGTAAAAAGTGTCTTGGGGGGACCTCAGTGACATGCGGTGATGCTGAATAACAACAGTGAGAGATTAAAATAGCTGCGAGAAGTGAACAAAGCTGAGTAAAAGTGGACACTGGTGGTTTGAGGCATTTCATAACCAATGGAAGCAAGATGATGTGACTATCACTCATATTTACAAACAGACTGAATGATCAAAATCTAAGCAGCCATAGATGAGTCTAGCCTTGATGGAGCTGGTTATCAAGTGTGAGAAGTTCTAACTCTGTCCTGAAAACTAGTGCTGGTACTGACCACTTCTGCTTGTCTCTGGATAACGTGTATCTGGATGTAGGTTTAAAATACAAACAATTGGTTTTGGAAGGATTCTGCCATTTTGCCATTGTGTTCAACCTGTTTATGTGTCAAAGTATCATTCTGCATATGTTTTAGCTCTTCTTTGTACTCACATCAACCTGACTGAGGACGACGTCCACGATGCTCCCAACCACAATGAGGAAATCAAACACGTTCCAAGGGTCTCCAAAGTAACCCTGCACAAGGTGAATATGAAGAATATGAAGTCTTTTAGGCAACAACTTTCTAGTTTTTGCATATGGTAAAATTATTAATGGTTGAAAATTACCCTTGCTTTGAAGGCAATAAGCTTGACAATCATCTCAATTGTAAAAAGGACTGTAAAGATGACATTCAAAGTATCTGACAGCTTGGTTATGTGGTCTGATTGGTTACAGTGCTGCAATTAAAAAACAAAACAAAAAAACACAGAACTGAACACATTATTTTGTGAAAAGAAGCATTACAATGTAATATTTCCAATATAATATAATCCAACTATTAAATAGGAATGGCACACGTTCAAAATTTCTACATAATACTGTCATTAAATGTATTACATTAAATATATATATAGTAGCAAAAGTACATACCTGCATTCCTAGACATAGAGTGTTGAGGATGATAAGAAAGAACATGAGGTACTCAAAGTAGCACGAGGTCACCAGGTACCAGATCTGGTACTGGTAAGGGTTCTTAGGGATGTAGCATCGGAGGGGACGAGCCTTCAGAGCATACTGTACGCACTGACGCTGGAGTGGGAAGAAAAGAAATATTACATATTACATCACATATTACAAAAAAGATTATTTAAGATTATTTAACTTTTAACTGTAGACATTTTTTGGTTTCGTTTAATAATATTGAGACTGTCTTATTCTATTGGCTGACAGTTGTGCATGTAGACAAAGACTAGACACAATTCTCTAGATAAAATGTTATACTGTAAAAGTGCAAGACATCTAAAAATAATCTTATAAAATTCTTACAATTATCTCATAATAAGAAATCTTACACACATTGACTAGATTTAAGATGATTCACTTGTAAAGATACAGTTCTGCAGTGCAAAAGACAAGGCTAAAATGGCTACCATGTTACCAACCCAAAAGGCAATAAGGTCAAAGATGATCGAAATGGCCCTATCATCAGCAGATTGCGAGTTCAATCCCTGGTGATGCTACAGCCATCCATGGCTGCACTTTTTGAGGAAACTCTACAGAATGCTGTCAAAAAATCCCATTTAACCTCTAAATGTAGTTCAATTTGTTCAACATTCTGTTTGTGAGTTCAGACCATGCCTTCAACATGGTGGTAGTATGAGGGAAGACTGATTGACAGAGGGTGGAGAGTTCTTGGGCTGAAGTTCTGGGCAGCTTCTGCCTGTTGCTAGAAGGCCAGATCCCCTTATAGCTGTAGTAGGACTGATGTAAGACTTAGGAACTAGGAGGAGATGGGGTGGTGGTGGTGGTGGGGACTGTGAACCCTTCGTCACAGGAATGGAAGGTGAGGATATGAATTTATAGGGCGTTAGATTGGAAGAAGGAGGGGTTTCAGGCGTGTTGCTCCCCTCAAAGTTCAGTCATAATGTAACTACATTGAAGTTTGTCCAACCTGACAGCAGTTACTACTAAAGACGCATTTGTGGGTGGAGCATGGATAGGTCAGTTGAAGTCACTGAATCATTTCCCAGTAAAGGTAACCACAGAAGTCATAGAAGGCACCATGAGTATGTTACCTGGTTCTTGTCCAGCTCACAGTTCTTGTACTCTTGCTCTCCCTGCTCGCGGAAGGTGACAATGACAAAGCCCACGAAGATGTTCATCATAAAAAAAGCAATGATGATGATGTAAATGACGAAGAATAAGGCGGTGTCCACACGGTTGTTATAAACTGGGCCCCTGTCTTCTGCATCTGAGTCTATAGCCTTATAGAGCAATCTGTGGACAAGCAGCAAATGGGGAAAAAAAAACAAGTGGGTCACATCAAACAGGCCTAAACAAGCACTTCTGAAGAATTTTATCATATGATGTGTCCACACAAAAGCAGTGCTGTCCAGTTAAGGGAAAAGTAAACTCACTCTGGCCATCCCTCAAATGTTGAGACGGTGAAGAGCGCTAGCATGCCATTCAGCACATTATCAAAGTTGAAGTCGTTGTTGACCCACTGCCGCTGGTGGACCTCCGTTTCATGGAGTGTGTTCCGCACATGCTTCACAAATGTTCCCCTGAGAACCAAAATGAAAGGGAATCATTAGAAAATACAACAGATTTACCTTCAATATTAGACAAGAAGACAAAATGAATGGCTCAGGCACCATTTGCTAGAAATGAAATGTCTACAAATAAGAAACAAATAAGTCACAAGTAATGTACTCACTGACATTCTACTTCAGTCAGTTTCAGTGGATCTGTACAAGAGTAGAACTTGCCCTATAAAAAAAAAAAACATTACTAACAACTTCCAATCATAAATACAAAGAAAGAGCTACCAAAGCTGGTTGAATTTACATCTCACCTTGAAGAGCTGGACTCCGATGCAAGCAAACATAAAGTTCAAGAGCAGAGTGACCACAATGATATTGCCAATAGTTTGAATGGCCACAAAGACACACTGGACCACATGCTACAAAACAGACAAGTAACATCCAATAAATAAAAGACTGTCAGGTCAGAGACAATAAATCCATAAACTTACTACTTACATGCCATAATAGCTACATACCTTCACCCGTTTGGCTCTATTGATGGCCCTCAGTGGCCTCAGAACCCTCAACACCCTGAGAATCTTAACCACAGAGATGGCACTGGACCTACAAAGAGGACATAGACCACCATGTTTTCAGCAGCACACCTCAGCAAATAATGTTAAATCGATGATCACTCAACATAATTGCACTCACTCTAGTCCCATAGACAGGAGTGAAACGGCAACAACAATCAGATCCAGGATGTTGAAGGAGTTCCGGCAGAAGGAGCCCTTGTGCAGGATGGCTCCATACACCATCATCTGAATCATGCCATTCAAGAGATACAAATTTAGTACAATAGTCATTATTGCTTTGCTGCGAGGCCACCCGTTGATATTTCAGTCATAAAATAAGTTCTCAAATTGATGATGAACCTTACCTTCAACAAAATCTCAATGGTGAAAACTGTTGTGAAGACAATATCAGCGTAAGCCAGGATCTGTAAAAAGTTCAGATATATTCAGTATTAATTAATTTGATATATTGTTCAGGTTATATAAACACCTCATAACTCGTAAAGGTTTTTTTAAACGTTACTTGAAAATAGCAGGGCAAATTCTAAATATTTTTCAAAATTTCTGCATAATTAAATAGTTAAAACGTAAACAGTATCATTCAAATTGGTTTGATGTGAAATTCTAGAAAATTTGTTGAGTCAGAATTGTTCACAACAGTAGTGATAAAAAAGACATCATAAGTGTTTGATTCCTCTCAAAGCTACTTCACAGAAAGCAATCACATAAAACGGTTACAAGTTCACTGCCTAATGCCTGAGACATCGTTTACGATAGTTTTGAGATAAAAATTTTGGCCTTAAAGGTAACTTTTAAATCCATTCATGAAGGAGAGGCACATGCAGGCCATTCTAAGGCAAAATAGTCCCCAAGAAAACATAATTTTTTAGATTTACAATTTTAACGTGATCAACATTACATACAAAAACTCAGAAGAAGTGTTTGTTTACTGGTCATTTTGGATAGTAAATAAATCTCCACCATTATAAGGAAATCCAAACCAGTATGTTTCTCTATAATTAACCATTACACATCAAACCACTCTAAAAGATTTTGTTTACATCACAAACCATAATGTAGAAAGAAGGTAAGTAGAATTCTAATGAAATTAAGAATTTTTTCTTCTTTTGTAAACTTTGGAGATAAAAAATGTGTTGTTACAATCAGAGGGGGGTACTAACTAGTTACACTTACTCAGTAACCTGCACTCAAGTAAAATTTTGGTGGATTTATTTTTTTTACGATTTGTATTTTCAAATGGTAATACTTTTACTTCTACTGAAGTATATTTGTGAGGAAAAAAGAGGACGGGTTTTACTTTGCATTTTAGTCATTAACTTTTAGCTACAAATTCTTTTTCTGTGTAATTGTATTGTTTTATTGGAGACAGCATCTGTACTTCTTTGCAATTGGTCGTTTCAGATTTTATTTTAGACTAAGAGTGCATCAAAAAGAGACTAGAGCCTAAAACACTATGCTGATAGATGCAGAATGTTCGACCTTATACTTTTGTAATTCTACTCAAGTTGTTTGTGTCTCCATTTCACTAAAGTAAAAATACTTTTACTTGAGAATGTGTTACTTTACCCATCTCTGATTGTGATGTGAAAGACAGATGTTTCAATCAAACATAAAATATAATACACTAGAAGTAAACTAAGCATTGTAGTTCTGTAAATACAGATTTTGGCACCTTGTTTCTGAATGATTTGGGGTCAATGGGGTCCTCAGCAGCCAGAGAGATACTGCTGAGGAGGATGAGGAGGAGGATGAAGTTGGTGAAGGGGGTTGCATTGATAAATCTGTGGCACAGCTTACGGAACCTGTCGGTGAGAAACACAACAGACTTACTGGCAATGCACAGACCACCGGCTAAGTTTACTCATATACATATTCAAATACAGAACAGAATTAATATGTAGTTGGCAGAGATGCATTATATCCTTTCACCAACTGTCTGCATGGCCAACACAAGATACCCCTTTAAAAGTGTGAGGGTTGTTCTGAGAAGAAAGAAACATGGCATAATGCTCAATCTCAGTCAACTGTTGTTTGATGTCAACAAAATTGATGCGAGTAACTCACTTGTTCTGTGGGCCAAAGATGAAAAAGGCACTGGCTTCGGGCATGGGCACCACAGTCTCTTTGAGCTGCAAGTCAGCCATGGGCCTTGGTCTTGGACTGATAGGAATCTCAGGCTCTTCCTCTTCATCATCACCTGAGAAAAACAGAGGGTTCATAACAGATCAGGAAGACTGAACTCTTTAGAGTGACGTCTATAATTAAGCACAATTACTTTGCTGACGCCTTCCGCCCAATGACCGCTGGGATAGGCTCCAGCTCCCCCCGCGACCCAGAAGGATAAGCAGCTTAGAAAATGTGTGTGTGTGTGTGTGTACTTTATTGAATACAATGTTTTTTTTCCTTTCTGCTTCCAACAAGAATGTCATTTGACCAAAATGATCAAGTATATGAATGCTACAAGCTTTGATCTAATCATCACATCAAAACCACTCATGAATACTATTTCCAGTATTATTTTTTTCCAACTTTTGAAAAAACACTAGCTGTGGTTTATATTTAATTACATTAACATACAATAAAGTTTAATACATTTTTCCTTCTCTTATAAAATTAGTAAACTTTGCTTATTGTATTATTCATTATCTTCTCATGGCTAAAATAGCCAGCATGGGGATTTTCATGTCCCATAAATGACCATAGAAGCCTGAAGGTAAAATTTAGCTTCTCTTATTATAGTGCTGCTAATCTTGCACATCACCATTGCCAAATCTGAAGTCATACTGTATCACATCATGAGACACTACTGCCTAAACTGCTGCAGCTTGAGCTGATGAAGCATTTTACTGTTTGTCTGGGTTTACCTGGGAAGTCAGCAGGAGGAAATGGATCCTTCACTTCTTTCACGTTCGATTCAAACTCATCCACCTTAAGCTGCAGAAAACATATAAGCCAGATGGCAGGATGTTTACACAGTGATACAGACCAAATTTGGTTACATGGTGGGAAAAGCCATTTTAATGGTATGAGAAAGCATTCAACGTCTACAACAGTCACAGGATTTCTTGGCCCACTGGTAAAATAGTAAAACAGTATAATATTTAGGTGACATAAAAATTCATTCCCAAAAATGAATTAGTAATATTAAGCTCTTACAATAAACCCATGTTTGTTGAGTTAGTACCTTTGCAGTCGTGGGCATGCCTTCAGTTTTATGTTTGGCCTCCATCAGCCTCTTGACCATCAGAGCTTTTTCTTCCTCACTTTTTTGTGGCGGGGCTGTTCTGATGTAAGAAATTAGAAGATTTTAAAGATGCTGTGCGGAAATGTCAGTCTTTTAAGATGCGGAAGTGGAAGCATTATAATTGATTTAAACAATACAGAACTGATGAATCTCCACACTGTAAAAAGTAGTTGGGTCAACTTTTTTTTTTTTTTCTCAGTTTGTTATTTATTTATTAATCTATTTATTTTTAAAATGTTTACATTTGTAAATGTTCTTTCTTTAGGCTAAGCTATCCTAACTCACATTCTCAGGTCAACAATACAGTTTAAGTTGAACTTTTTTGAATAAGTGCTGATTCTTTATGAGCTGAAATTCTTTTTTTTCCTTTCTCTCCCTCAATTTGGTCACTGCTAATGTCCACTTGGAGGCTATGACTCTCCATATTACACAATGCTTTTTAACACTTTGCTCTCCAAGTACATTTATTTCAGCACAGGTAAACGTTCTTTATCTAAGAAAAGACAATGCTCTCTGTCTGAGCATGTGGAACATTTTCAATTGTCTAAATGAATTTGAATACCAGTGATGCTACAGCCCTCCACTATCAGGAGTCTGAGAGAAGGAAGCACTTAACCCCTGCCCCTCAGCTCAGAGCATCAAGCATCTAAGAATTAGCAATGACTGAATTTGGGGTGAGGAGGAAACTCCAACAAAAATTGTAAGCCATTTCTGCATATAATGAGGCAGCACATTCCCTTTTTGAGTAAGCTCAACTTAAACTATATTAGTACAGAGTTAGTACAGAAATACAGCACTAAGAATGTGAGTTAGGAAACTAAAATAAGTTGAGATAACTAAAAAAAAAAAACTATACCGTGAGTTGCCTTGTTATTTTAAGTTGACCTAACTTAGATCACAAATAAAAAATGTTTACCTCATGAGCTTCTTCCTAGCTTTCTCCTCCTCTTTCTCCTTTTGTGCTGTGGAAAGGCTTTCAGCTTCAGTTAGGTTATCCACAGCAATGGCCAGGAACACATTCAAGAGGATGACTGACCGCCACCAGCTCAGGAAGATGGACCTTGCTGCATGTTTTTCTGGGCTAAACTAAACCATACTTAACCATACTACATTAGTTTTTTGGCTGCTGCATGTCATCTTAAATAGGTTATTTTACAATCCCCACATAGCGATTCATTACACAGCAAACATTAACCTAAACTACTATATACGTCAGAAATTGATTTCAGACTTTGAATATTACAAAGGATACAGTTTCCACAGACATACAGGATGATAAAGTAGATGGAGACGAGAATTCCAGGGAAACTTGGTCCACCATGAGCCATGATTCCATTGTACATGATGGTATCCCACTCTTCTCCAGTCAGGACCTGGAAATGAAAACTAAATAATGACCGCTGAAATCCTTGGCTTTAAGTGAAGCTTTCCTAAAGATCAGTAAAAGTGTGATCACCTGGAACACACTGATGAGAGCCTGAGGGAAGTTGTCAAAGTTGCTGCGCTGAATGTCCCTGTCAGGGAAGTTGAATTTGCCACCAAAGACTTGCATGCCCAGAAGAGAGAAGATGACGATGAAGAGAAAGAGCAGGAGGAGAAGGGAGGCAATAGAACGCACTGAGTTTACCAGAGAGGCCACAAGGTTGCTGAGAGATTTCCAGTACCTAAGAGCCAAAAAATGCAGGAAACATTATAATGAGGCAAGAATGAGCCTAGAAAGTGCTGCACACTTGAATAACTGTGATCATATTTGTGTTTGCTCACATTTCAGTTCCTCAGGCTGATAACCACATGACCAAAAAGTAGTTACGAAACAATTTATTGTTACTGAAGTTTTAAGATTACTAATTGAATAGTAAGCCTACAGTTTAACCACTTTTTGCAGGCCCCCTAGCAGCTATTCTCGTGGTGGAACAAAAATCAACATTTTTAAATTATATAAGTAATATGAACATTTTTCCTGTAATTCTGTTAGCAGATTATCTAGGACAATGTTGGCTCTCTGTGTGTGAAATGTTGTAACTTTGTGTAAAGCTGCTTGTGAGCAATGAAGGGTGAAAGGGGAGGGGTGAGAACCCCCTGCTTTGAAAACAATTCCTCACTCTCCACTTACTTTGTGACCTTCACCACACGTAAGAGTCGAATACACCGCATTACAGAGATGCCCAGTGATGTCATGACATTTGCTGAAACCAAGATGATCTCCAGTATGCCCACAGTCACAACGAAGAAGTCAAATCGGTTGAAGATAGACATAAAGTAGGCTCGGAAGCCAAAGGCGTACATCTTCGCAAACATCTCGATCGCAAAACAGGTCAGCAGGATCTTATTCACAATATCTGCAATCATAAGAGACATAGTTACAGGGTTTGGAAACCTGCATTTCCTCAGTTATTAGAGCTTCCAACAACATAATTTAAATAAGGTTCACAACTGCACTCACGGCACAGTGCAAAAGCACTCTGAGTTCCCTTTATTTTAATAAATATGTTGATGTTCATTCATTTAAATTTCAGTTTGTTTTAAAAAGAAAGTTGAAAGAATTTACAAACATAAATTTACCAAAAACAATGTCATTAGAAGCCACACAGCCAATGCAATGGTTTTATTTGTAAAAACTGTCCAGTAAAATGATGATATGTAGAAAATATCTTATAATATTCCTACTAGAAACAGATTATAGGTATGAACAAATATCTGAATCTGGTTAATAGGACAGACCTTGAAACTGAGTCATCCCTTCAGACTGGGGGTGATGCTCAGAGGCAATGGCCAGAGTGTTGAGAAACACCACCAGGATGACCAGCCAGTAGAACACTTTTGACTTCACCCAAACAGTACACTTCAGCCGAAGGACTCGATTCCAGCGACGTGCCAGGCGACTAGGAGTCAGAGAGCAACACTGAGTCTACTGAGACAGAGGCATTGATATAAGAGAGTTTGTTATAACAAAAGGCTTTTTTGCATACTCACTAGTAATATACTATACGGTTTAAACCCTCCATTTCATAAAGGCTGTCTGTCTCCGAACCACTGTCCTTCAGAGGGAGAAGACCTGATGACAGAGAAGAGATCCATCAAAACAATAATAATCTGGTTTAATGTTCCTTTTTGGTGATTATTTACCAAGAGGCTGTACAATACAGTGATTTTACTACATTGTTAGGCATTTTTAATAAAATGTATTAATTGTTAATAATTTTTATAGGCATTATAAACAGCCATTAATTTTTCTTTACATTAGTAAAGCCTTGGATGGCTTACTGCATTTGTAAAATGATTAATAACTGGAGACATTAATAAAAATTGCATCAAGCAATTTTCCTAACAGTAACCTGTGGTTGCCAAACAATGTAACAGTCAAAGTTACATTAAAAGTTACATACAGAACTGCTTTTAATAAAAACTGAAAAATTAGACTAATAGTGTTAATTATAACATACACTAACAGTGAAAACCAAATGTGGAGAAAGCTGAAGTCCCAGGGAGCACAGTGTAAAACGTAAAAAGGCCTGTGTGACATGAAAATTAAGCAGATAGAAATGGTGCTTAAAAAGTGCTGATCAGACCTATGTGAGAACTGTCGGTAGAATGGATGCTAGGCTTGCTTTCACATGGTTCTTAGCTCTCTCGTAAGTTTCTACTGACTCGAACGAAGAGATCAAGCCTGTAAGGGAACACAGTTTTATTAAAGCTATGTGGGCAGGACAAGTCACATCAGCCTTGTGATTGCTGAGAATTGGACTGAATTGGAATGGAGACTGGTTATACAAACTTTACCCAAGATTAGGACTGGTCGGCTGAAACCAGAGGTGGAGAAATATGTAAGGTATCGGCCAGCGGAATGTTATTCATACGTCATACTTTGTACATGTACATTGTTTGCCTACAAGAGCAGGATTAACCTAATTAGAAAACACTGATTCACATGCCCTGGAGCTTTAACTATTACCTTTGGCAGTAAAAGACATATACCATTTCCACATATCATGGCACATGTACCTAAAAATGTATTAACGTTACCTCGCCCTTCCTGATCAGCATCCAGGACTTCGGCGTGTGTGATCCATTCCATGTAACCTTTTAAATCTTCATCCATCTGCTGTCTCTCTCGCAACTTCTGGTACTCTCCTCTGGATCTACATTTCTCTCTCTCTTTAGTGAACTCACTACAGGGAGATTGAAAGTATGTGAATGAACTACACTACAAATGGTGATAGTAGAGTTTGTATAGTGAAAAAAGAGAATCTCTGAAAAAACTGTCTCTGGCTATGTGTGCTTTTTGGTATGGCCTAATATGGTGTGGACTGCACACACTGTCAGCTTGCAGGTACAGAGGTTAATGTTTTTCTATGTGAGCATTTTTAGAAAACACAGTGGATTATCAATTACCCGCTAAGTACTCCAAGTACCAGATTGAGGACGAAGAAAGATCCCAACAGAATCAGTGTCACAAAGTAGACCCATGGCCAGTCATTACCAATAGCATCATTCACCTGAAATACAACATAAGCTGTGCTTGTGACCATATTGTACATGGATAACATCACCGCTAACTGTAAAACTGGGAAGACTTTTTTGTTTTACATCAATTTACGTTAAACTGGATTTCCTACAAACACTTCAAAGAGCCGCAATGTCTGTATTTACCCAGTATAGCACATTAGTCCAGCTCTCCATTGTGATGCACTGGAAGACTGTCAGCATAGCAAAGCCAAAGTTATCAAAATGGGTGATGCCAAAGTTGGGACCTGGCCAGCCTCCCCTGCACTCTGTCCCATTGATGGTGCAACGGCGGCCATTTCCAGCCTGGGCACAGGGGGATGCCACCTCGTTCCCCTGTAAGGCAATCATGTCTATGACAGAGAAAATAGATAGCATGAACCTTCTTGAAAAGTGCTACTATTAATACTTTTTCATTATGCAGTTATAAAAGTGAGGAACTGAAGAATCGGCCCACATATGGACCCTTGCAGTTTAAGGGTTTAATTACAGAATGTGAAATACCACAAGCATACATGTCGTCATTGTCATAACAAAACCTTGTATCTCCACAGTGGTAACCTTACATAAGATACCAGAGGCTGTACTACAGAAACGTCTTAACTCTGAAATCACATCTGTTTAGTCACCATCACCACTTGAGTTAGGACTGAATTTAGGACAGAAGCTATTACAGAACAACAGTTCTTAAGTTCATAATCTTATCCTAACTCTAGATAAGAAAACAGTATTACAGAGACATCTTAACTAGACAAAATTTCCTAAATTCTGTCCTAACTTTAAGACAACCCGAGAGCTTTCTTAACTTCTGTTTTAACCGTCCATTTTTATTGTTTTATGCAGTGACAGCCAGCATAGTTCAATACTAGCATAATGATGTTACATTTATCTACACTGAAAACGGTGCTTTGACTTGAGTTCTTTTTCTAACAATGGTTTAAAAATCCCAGACACTGCAGACATGATCTCCACCGTCCCCTCTTATTACCTTCATGCGTTAATGTTGATGAATAAATGAAGGTGAATAATATGGAGATAGAGCTGAACATGTGTCTGTTTATTAGGAAGAATAACGTTAGCGCGCTTGGCTAAAGCATTTGGGAAACTGAAACTGAAAATGTGGGGCACCAACACTCTGACAAACATGACATGACAGTTAATTGTCGACTTTGACCAAGTAAGTTAAGATTTCCTAACTTGAGATGAGATGCTGTAAGAAAAGATTCCTAAATTAAAATAAGATTTGCTTCTGTAATACAAATTTGTGAAAAATCTTATCTTGGCCTGTCGGATCTTTACTTAATACAAAAATATTCTTAACTTAAACCCAAAATACTTAACTTCAATGTATGTTCATGTATCTATGATTTTTATAATATTTTATAAATGTATAATATTTTACCATATTTTCAGAGCCTAACCTTAAACTAAAGAGTACTCTAACAGTAAACTGTCCATAGATTATTATCATTATTAGGCCACTCTGAGAAACAGAGGTATTCTGAATTATTAATTTGGATAAGTTAAACAACGACAGGGTGACAGCAGGACATATATAAAAGAACTAACCAGTGCCTTGGTAATAGCATGTCTTGTGCATCTTGCATTTGAACAACTCCAAACCCATGATGGCATACAAGGTAACCAAGAAGAAGACTAGCAGAACGACTTGAAACAATGGCAGCATAGCCTTCAGAATGGAGTTCATCACTACCTGCAGGCCTGAGGAGCAAAAACAGGGGGGGGAGGTAAGTGACTCATGGTGGGGTTTAAATTACAGCCGCACGTTAAAATAAAAGATTCTTACTAGGAACTCCAGAGACGAGCCGAAGAGGCCGAAGCACTCGAAAGGCTCGGAGAGCTTTCATGTCAAACCCTCCTCCTTTCTCTGTGGGGACCCCAGCTATTTTGTTGATTGTGTCCACTGCCAAAGTAAAGAGCCTGTGGACAGCATTTAAGATTAACTTAACAGTTGGGAAAGCTACATTTAATCTGTATTCCATTAGAGATTAATGATCAACTGATGCATAATATAATCAGGATTACAATGTGAAGTAATCACTCTGTATACCATCTGCACATGTATGTATATTTTGAGTGTATATATATATATTTGTCTGTATTTCCAGTATACAAAATACTACTATATGTATTCTTTCACTCCCTGCTCCATTTGTACAATGTAATCCTATACTTACATCTCCTAAAATCAAAGTGCAATGACTGCCTATTTATGGTTCCTAGTTTTTACAATACAAAACACAAATGATAATAACTTTAATATACTCTTATATAAATAAATTCTTTAAGAATCAGCTTAGTGACACTGATTTGAAATATGAGTTTCATTATATACTCATAAATTGTGTATTCCAGATTAGAAAATAAGCATAGCTTTTATTTCTGGGAACTGTTTTCCATACAAAATGAATCATACTGCTTTTTGAACACCAATTTCAGCTGAGCAAAAGTAATGGGGCAAATGAATGACAGATGATTCTAATTGCTCAGACGATCCTTGTGCCCTGAACTGTAAACACATGAAAGAGCTGTGAATGTATAGTGCTGGTTGTAGTCACCGGAGTTTGCATTAGGGGTCTTGTTTTGATGTAAAAGATACAAAACATGATGAAAACTAGAGAATTGACTATGATGGAAAAGCAAGCAGTTTTGGTGATGTCAATGTCAAGGGCACTTATTGCATGTAACAAGTCTGGGACCAAATATTAAGTTTAAACAACTTAATTGTCCTTTAAATGTAATTTTCCAAACACTTATGCTCAGCTGACACTGTTGGAGTAAACATAACAAATGGCATTTTTTTCTGCATGGCTAATGTAAAACCCTGCCCATAAATAAAAGCTGACACATTGTGGTTCAGTTTTATACTCAACTTTCGATTTGGAAAACACATATTATAGAAGTATAAGAAAAATAACCCTCATTTTGACCCTCAATTTGATCTCATTGTTTCTGTATTTGGATGAGGGTGAGGTGAGATCAGCTGTTTTTGTGGTTTTGAAGGGGGTCTTTTGGTCCATTCTGATGAAGAGAGCTAAAAGGTCAAGTGATGCTTGCAGATTCATCTCACCCCATAAAAACGATGACAAAGTCCAATATGTTCCAGCAGTTCCGTAAATAAGCACCTTCATGGAACAAAAACCCATACGCTACTATCTTTAGGAAGCACTCCAGAGTAAAAATGACCAGAAAGATGTACTCCAAGCTTTCCTGCAAAAAAAGAACATCCTTATCAGATATCTGTTGTGACTAATTTCATTGAGTAAAACATGTAACACTGAAAGACTTTAATTAAAGAATTTAACAATTAAAACACACCTACACTGAAATAAGAAAGAGGTAGTTTCAGTGTCACTTCGACCTAAATAACACTGAAGGTATACAGTGCACATTCTGCCAAGTGCATAGTCACATATTTTTAAGCATTTTATTCAGCTGCATCACTAACAACCTTTGGCTTCAGCAAAATATGGAGCTCTACAGAGTTGTTCTTCTCTGCCTTTATCAATGGTTTTGTGATACTATGGCAAAGATGAGGAAAACAATCAGAGAACAGGGCCATGTATGGTGGCCATGTGTGGTCTGGTTATACTCTAACATGGTCACGCTGACTGTCCCTTAAACACTCCTGCTTTAAAGACTTCAGAAATCTTCCACTCTGTTTGCTCTGATCTGCAAACAGCAGCACAGACATTCGTTTTGCCATCAGTTTCTTTTACATTTATTTTCATAGAAATAACACAGAACACATCGGAGCCCTACTCATATCACAAAGGGAAAACAGAAAGTAACTTCAATTATGAAGAAACCTTTAAACTACACACAGTCCTTCTTAATCCAGATTGACCTTAAAACACCATATGTAATTCATCACTTTTCATCAATTTATGAATCCAGCAGTTGCCTGCATTTGATATTTTCTGATAATCTGGTTCCACTAGCTCTTAAAAATAAAGGTCTCAAAAACACCCCTAAGATGTTACTTTGGTCATTATTGATCCAAAGCACTGCTCTTATGAAGCATTAAATTCATAACTTCACTGCTTTTTTGAAAGTACAAAAGCTGTTTAAGTGCAAAGAGCACCACCTTGTGGAGAATTTTCAGCCTGCTAAATGTGAGCGAGTGAGTGAGTTACAAGCCAGGTCCATGAGGTTCCTCTGAACCTTTACACATAATGCAAAGATTCTATACTAACTGAACTTTTTCTATGACTGTATGCTAAGGACCATTTCAGAACATTTATTTTTGAGAGTGTAGCCATATGCATTTTCTGTGAAACTGAAAAATGTAATATAAAGTCAGGGGCAAAAAAAAGGAATGAAAAGTCAGAAACAAAAAAACCTTGCCCACCCCACCACCATCACTTACCAACAGACACTATGTTTGTGTCAATTAATTAAAGCTATTTATGCTCTCAGCTAAAGTGAGCATCGCTGTGCCAAAACTCTACTGAGCTACTTCTGACTGTTTTGGGTGGGGGCTCTTTAGCCCTGCTCTCAGCTTAGGTTTCATGACTTATAACTGAGGAATGGCAAGCTACCAGCCTGGCTAGGCTCTGGCCACAGCTGAAGGGGACTGGGCAGTAATTGTAGAAATCATAACACGCATTACAGCCATTTGAAATCCAATGACATGCTGAATAACCTACTACTAGAAGTCTGAATGTGACTGAGTGTGTTGTTGGGCAGCAGATCTGACCCAGATAGTTCAGATGCTGTTTAGGCTGAGTGCTGGATTGAATTTTGTTGATTGTAAGTGCTGTGTTGCGAATGCACTGTATAAAGAAGCTTTCCTCAACTTTATTTTTCACATGTGCCCAAATTTTTAACTGATTTTATGCACAGTACCGTGCAAAAGTCAGAGACCCCACTTTATTTACTGAATTTCCAGTCAAAAAGGCCATTTAGTCCTACATTTTTATTTTTTCACCTTCAGGAAAAAGCAGAAAATATATGTTCAACATAAAATCACACAGAAGCCTCAACAACTAAATATAATTTATCATCTAACAATCTACCACGGTTGTTAGGAGGCCCATTTTCTCTATATCTTTTAATCACTTTTGTAACTGCAAACTCCTGTTGTATCATGACTTTCTTACCTTACTTCAGAAATATCTTGTGAGTGATCTTGTACAGTACTGTACTGCCATGTATACACTTAAAATGATGGTTCTTCAAGGGTTGTTTAGTAAAGAACATGTTTCTATATAGAACCATGAACACTTAAAGAACCCTTTGCATGATTAAAGGGTTCTTTGCATTGTGGAAGAGCTCTTCAGATTGATGGAGAATGTGCTGTATAAAGTATAGAACATTTTTAAAAATGGTTCTATATAGTACCAAAAAGGGTTCTTCTATTGTTACAAGCTTGACAAGAACCATTTTCTTTACTAAAGAACCCATGAAAAAACATCATTTGTAAGTGTGTTTGTACCATTTTCTTTTCCGAAATCTACACAATTTCATGCAATTGTATTCTTTCTAGAGATTGGCACGATGACATGTTTTTCTTTTATTATTATTTATTAATTATTTAGTTGCCAGTAAAAGTAAATGGGCAGAGACGCTTATAAGAAAAGCATGTTATTTTGATTCCAATGATCATACTATTGGCTAAACATATTCTGATGTAGGCGAAAGATGTAAATGCTCTGCATCAAATAGAAGGAAATATGACAAAGTTTTACTAAGAAGAATACATTTTATTAATATATAAACCTCTGTGTTTAAATATTTGCAGACTGTTCTAAATGGCAGCTATAAGGCTAATGATTCAGTTGGAGTCCGTAGTGCCCAGGCCTACAATGGATGTGAAATTGTTTTTGCACAGGGTAAGAATTCTGTCACTAAAATGGCAATATGAGCAATAAACTCCCCCTAGAGGTTTGCGTGTATCTTTGTGCCTCTCACTCATTCCTGTGGACTGCAACCCTGCAGCTTCATCATTGCTGCACCTCCTTACCCAGAGTCTAAATATAAAGCCCAGTACCTTCCTGACCAACACCAGCTGCTGAGCTTTAGTTTCAGAGTCAAAACATCTTACAGTCTATCAGTCACTGGTCAGGTGTAAGAGGATTTTCAAAAACAATCCCATCAAAATAAGCATAGATAAATGCAATCAGTGTGAATTACTGTACATGATTAACTGCTGACAGATAAACAATATAACAGATGTAATGAAATCGTTCAGTGTCACCACTTTGCTCTATCATAATTGGCCTAAATAAACAAAATCACACAAACACTTTATTCTGCCTGTCTTGGATAAAATCAACGAAAGGTATAACTGTGAATAACAAAAGTTTGAGTGTAGTTCCTGTTAGTAAAATGATATGTGACTAAACTGAACTAGTCATATAAATTTAGTGTAAACTATGGCAGCCAACTACATTCTAAGGATGTACAACTCGAACTGGCCATGACTTGAATTGGCTTTTTGGCACAATCTGACAGTTTATTATATTTTATTTTGGCCAATCAGTGTTGCAGCTTTATGAAATAAATAGTAAGTCAGGTAAGTGCACTTACAGTGTATTTAAATGCCGCATCTTAACCTACACCAAAATGCTGTAGCAAAATTATGCAAAACGCATAAATATCCAGTCATTTCTTACTTTCAAATGTATTTATAGTGCACATCTGGCTAATACAAAGCACTGAAAATGTTTTTTGTGTTTGATGTGTTTATTTAACTCACACAGAGTGAGCTTCAGGTTCAAAAAAATTGAAAAAAACAAAAAAACAGCCATCTGCAATTTTTTTCTAAAGAAATTGTTATCGGCCATAGACGTTATCAGTTCGTGCACCCCTACTACATTCTGCGTGAAACATGGCCTAGGGAACACACTGTAAGGAGAGAACCAAAGAAAAAAGATAGAGGCTTCTTTGTTCGCCCAACACCTGAAGCTGGAACTCACCAAGGTGGAGTTGGTAGAATTGGTATCGTCCTCTGGCATGGGCAGAAACACAGCAAGAGCCACACAGTTAGCAAAGATAGTCAGCAGGATGATGATCTCAAAGGGCCTGTTGGGGTCTAGTCAGGAAAATAGCAAACTAGCCAAGCATAACAAAGCAACAATCACAACTTTAAGTAAGCAGAAAACAATGAGCACATGAAAATAAACCAGATACCAAATTCACTGCAAATTTTCCAGTAAATCGCATTCCAATAAATCTAACCATGCTAGTTCTTGCATAAGCAAATATGATAAAGATTCCAATCCCCATTGTTGTTTTTGTATATGTTATGTTGGCATTTAGGTAAAAGTTAACATTGTTCTATAAGATTATGGTGTGTTGGTTACTGACCTCTTGAACTTGAACTACACTTGAACTTGATCTGCACTAAGCTCAAGTTCAACCTTTCTCAAACAAAGTGTCAGGGCCTGTGTTTCCATGTTAATATTAACAATATCTCACATTTCGGTAAACAACATTGAACCACTAGATGATCTCTATAAAGTTCTAACATGCGTTTGCAATTGCAGTTCTGGTCATTTCTAGCTCACGGTGATTTATTTAATCGACCAAACATTGCCATGAACTGTTTCACACAAGGAACTATGTTATGATCATCCCTACAGTGTTCAAGCCTGAGCAACATATATTGTTCACTTGAAACTCTATGCGTGAAAGCGTTCATCAATCTGCCCTACAGTGCTGTACAGGACAGTATGGGACAGTCTGAGTGTGGTCTTAAATGAGAGGGTACATTTCTGCCAGCAGGAGGCAGGATATCAGAATTTCCCTGCCAGCTCAGCACCATGTCCAGCACAAGTGATCTCACACAACAGCTGCACGCACCCAGAATATTATCAAACCATTTAAACACAGTTATTAAAATGGCTCCAAGATTACATCGACTGCTTGCATTAAAGCAAAAAGAAAGCTGGCCACTTACATTGGACTGTGTTCATTTTTGCTGAGATTTTTGCAAAAACCTACTGATATTAATCTTGACAGTATTTCCAGTTTTTTTCTAGATAGGGCCTACATTTTTTTGATAACACTCAGTCTGAATGAACATGAATACTTCAACATTAATTATATTTGACAAGTCACAAATAATTTACTAGGGGCAAAAAATGACAATAGAGGAAGCAATAGATCTGATTAGCAGACAAGCTTATATTATAATCAAGCTAGTTTTTCACTTCATTGCCTAAAACTGCACGCTAGACTGCTGGTCACTTAGCACACAATTAAGGAGCCGTCTCTATACTGTTTAACCCATAGTCTCTAAATAATGTGAGGTCAGTCTTCACATCAACACCCTTGACGGTGAAAAGACTTGAGCTAATGTTTCCATTCAATCACTGGGGGGTCTGACGGATAACAAAAGCTTAACACCTCTCGCTCTGGCTTCTGACAGACATTTCTGCGCCTAGATTAAATAGAACAACAGAGCCCTTTTACTTCTCTTTCTTGAATGCAAATAGAGGCTACCGAGTCTGTGGAACATCTTCTCTAGACTAGAATAAGACTAAAAGGACCAGGCCTAAGAAGGTCTGATTTCTCTGATGGTTTTCTCTGGTGGTTTCTCTGGCTGCTTTCTGCCTGGTATGAATGCTAAGCCTGAAATTCGAATACTATAGAAGTCTTCCTAGAAACAACAGATTAAACCTTAAATGTGACTACCAGTGACTAACTACCATTGGTAGGAGAAGCCAGATAAACGAAGATGGAGAAGCCAGATGAATAATACAGCCATCTAGTTGTATACTTCTTCATCAAAACTGATGATTTCACATGCTAGTCACAATCAAATAACAGCTGAACCCATTGCTTTTGAAGGAGAATAATACAGCCATATACAGTCATTTCACCATCATAATTCCTCATCTCACAGTTTAAACTGCCATTTATAATCATGGTATAATCTACTATTTCAAGGAGTGAAACATGACAAAGAAGTTTAAGTGGGTCTACAGTTAAACTATGTTTGGTCTGTGTTTGAAGGATACTTCCATTCCACAATGTTTATGCAGGACTTTCGGAAGGGGTTCTTGAGAGTGAAGAAGAAGAGGGAGCGGGCGGGCCTGGGGTTCCCACCGGTGGCCTGTAGCTTCTTAAGCTTCTCCCGCTGCTTCCTCTTCAGCTCCTCTTCGTTCATGATGAACGAGGCCAGGGCTGGCCCTCCACTGGAATCCATTTTTCTTCTGCTTCCTTTCACCTACACGGTCTGAATCCCAGGGAAAAAAGACTAAAAGAAACCAAGCCCAAATCTTCTGCACCAGTGTTCCACAGCCTTTAGCAAGAATCCCAATTTTACAATCCTTTGGGTCTCCCAGATGACTGGGTTAGACCTTGCGTGCTCTCCTACACCTCCTCCACCCTCCGTTCCCCTGCAGCTCTCTCTGACAGAAAGACGCTGCTTAACTCCTTGGCCCTGGCCCCCTTGCTCGGAAAACTTACACCAAGCAAGGAGAAATTAGAGGAGCGGAGAGCGTTTGGGATGCAGTTGGCCCGTGTCAGGTTTATATATAGACAACCAGAGAGTGTCCATGCTTGGGGCTGGGGGAAAAGGGCTCTTTGGCGTTCGGGTGGGGCCACAAGCACAGAAGGAAGCAGGGCATTTGGGAGAAGCAGCAGCCACAGAGCTACAGCTGCTACATGAAGCAGTACAGATGAAAGAAAAGATACTGAGGGGAAGAGAACAGGACAGAAACCCAAACATAGAGAAGAGAGGGGTTGTTCCAAGTGTGACACTGAGCAGACACTGGCTGGAAATGTTCATAGAGCCAGAAACACAGATTAAATTTCATGAAGTGGCTGAAATTCTTCTAGCATCACAAATTTCAGTTAGGCTCTTTACTACTGAGTTGCTGGGGTTATCTGGTTTAATCTTGAGTCAATATGCATGTTGGTGCTGCACGCAAACCCTGCAGATACTCGGGCCCTAGAAATTCAGCGGCCGCTGCGGCCCAGAAACAGTCTGAATAAACGCTAGCTAGCTGCTTGCTAGCTAATTAGCTAGCTAACACTTGATTGTATTGACATTAAATGACATACTGTACACAAATATGAGCCAAAAACACTTTTTGTGTTGTCGTTTCTAGCATGTTAGATATGTTAGCTCCTAGCTAACTAACGTTACTTTAGCAAAGTCTTTACAGAGTAATTCTATTCACTGTTATCAAGTAGCTACATTTCTAACTGAACTAGGTTAGCTACCTAAAGACAGACAGCTCACTCCCCAGTAGGGGTGGGAGAAAAACAATCGATACAATTTCATTATATAATATTAATATTAATATTAATATTTTGGGTTTAAAAGCCCAAGTATCTGTAATCGTGGTGGCTGCAGCTGTTGTATGCGTTGGTTCATTTGCATTCTCATTAGCCCTAGTCACTGTGGTGGTCTGAATTCAGCTGTAATTAACCTGTTATAGCACCTTCTTTATGCACTGCAGATTAACCTCTATGTGTGATGGGTGAACTAGCCGATGAGTTTGCTTCGTCAACGATTAACTTTCCCGTAATCTTTCTGCACTTCGCCAGGTGGATTGGTTCTCTGGCTAGCCACTAAGCACTTACTATAGTCCTGTAAAAGTAGCAAATAACAGTAACTTAGCTTACGTTGTTTTTCAAATTGCTTCCTGGACATGCCTCTTCACAGTGCAGAAGCTACATTATTAGTTAATTATTTATATTTTATTGTGTATTTTGCCCACACAATAACAGAATATAAATGACCAACATTGCTTCCTTAATCCACAAGACGGCGCCGTTTCTTTCTGGTGGGATGAAGGTTTCTGTCCGTGGAGTCACTGTTAGGAATGAGCGGTGAATTCCAAATGAATTTACTTCAGGTAAGTTGTTTTCATTAGACCTGCGACTTATCTAGATTAACCGTTCTGCTCTTACATTATTTATATTTTATCCTTACATTAAAAGGATGAAATTGCTTCCTTCCAGTGTGAGTAAGAGGGGCGGAGAAAGGAAAAAATCTGATTTCTGTCTGACGTTAAAGCTGCTGTCTAGAGGCCCTGTGAAGTGACAAAGCTGCCCCTTATCATGGTGTCAGTCCAGTGCTTGAGCTGTAATTTGTATTACCGAATCTGTGAGAAGTTAGTCACTACATTTATAATTTTCAAGGCCGGACTGTAAACAATCTAAGTGTACAGTTGGCCAAAGTTTATATTTTTGGGCACTGTTGATTCCTAATTACTTTTGCAACTTGAATAATAATAATAATTATTTTTAGCAGTAATACCTTTATAGGTGGTACTATATGATACTATATACTATACTATACTACACCATATATAATATAAAATAATGTGTAACATATAATAATAATACTATACTACATACATTTCTACCCCAGTCAAATTTTGGAAACTATTACTACAGTTAGACATTGTCAAAGCCGTCCTCTACAGCAAATATAATGTGAAAAGCCAGTCATGAAAGCAATATAAGAAACAGGCAACTTTCATCAATAATTTAATATCGATCTGACACACTGTTGATGTTGAAATTTCAGTCTCAATCATTTTTGATAAATAAATAAAAACATGCTAGGTAAAGGACATTACTGCTGGACACCATCACTTTTGGCCCAAGTTATCCAGCTTACTGAGAAAAACTTTATGAAATACTTCCCCAAATCCAACTCTGACTTATCGTAATATCTTACTGTGTCTTAGATTAACAAAACTATCCAACAGTAAATGTCCAAAAAAAGTAAAGAAAAATCTACACATAGATGCTGCTATAAACCTCTACCACCATTGCACTTTATTTCATTTCCCAGTTTAAGTACAATACTACATGAGCAAGGAAGTTTCTTGCAACCAAATAAGTGACATTGTACATAAAACTTAAACACTAAAAGAACAAAAATATACACAGGCAGCAAGATGTCATCGCTTAAATATGATAAACACCCAAGTACCATGTCTTGGCAGAAAAGCAGAACAACTGTAAAAACAAGCCAAAGAAAAATGATTAAATTAAATAAATAATACATAGTTTATTATTTGAGGTACAAAGCCAGCATTGTATCTCCACTGCACAGCACAACATCATACGTGCAGAAAAAGTGCAAACAGTCTCAAGAAGTTAGTGTGGTGATTACAGATCAGCCAGAATGTGCCTGCTTATTACCCAGCTATAAGCTTATTCAAGTCACAAACTCTCTCTTTTTTCCCCCCTCATGGAAAGTACAACATTCAAGTGCAGTCATCATTTTGGTATGAAAACAGTGGACACTGCAGTCAGTAAGATTGAAAAATGATTAAACAGTCTGAACCCATAAACCAGCTACTTATGTTCTACTTAAGAAGGTCAGCAGTAAAGAAGACCTGGAGGGTTTCGACTGAAATCTACATTTGACAAATCCTTCATTCTGTTTTTAACTAATCTACTACATTAGCTTGCCAAATCTAAACGATGTTTACCTTATTAAGAGCAAAAGCTGAGAATGTGAAAGTTGTGTTTCCCAAAATTGCAGTATTTTGCTAAACAGTCATCTTCTTGGGTTATAAATCAAAACATCCAACCATGACAAGCAGATTCTTTAGGTAATACATATTACATATGGTGATGCAATCATTGTATTCATTTTAACACCTCTCTTTAATTGGATACTATGAAAACAGCCTCAGAAAGCTCACAATAACAAGACACAGCCTCATCTATTAAAACAAGTAAATTAAATAATAAAACTCAGCAGTGATCTTCGCTCTGCCCCTAAGAGTTTAGCTCAGCAGCTTGTGGCGGTCAAACACAGTCTTGCGCTGCTCCTGAACCTGTTTCTTCCAGCGCTGTTGAGCCCCCTCGACCCGCTCCAGCACGGTGTTCCCTCGGCCTGGAGGGCCACTTGGATGAGGTCTCACGTCCTGTAGAGGGCGACAAAGCAAATACAACACCTCAGCATTCTTTTTTTTTTTTTAACATTATTTTTCATTTGTGGATCTATGCAGATACAGGATTACAGACATTTGTGCTCCACATTTTACATCATAACCAAAAACTAAAACAATACTGGAGGAAAGGAGAATTATATATATATATATATTCTCATAGTGATGAGTAGGTCAGGAATTACTTGTACCTTGTACATAATTTGTGTTAATTAGGAACAAAACAGATATATACAAAATACATACAGGGTCATATCACTGTACATACAGATATTGGGAAAGTAATTATTTAAGCTAAAGAGTAACCTCTACCTAGAAGAAGAGGGGGAAGGATGCTAATTACTTGGGAGACTTTTCAGCTTCTCAAAATATGCAATCATGGGATCCCAAGTTCTATGGAATTTTACAGAGGCCTTTCTAGATGAAAACTTAATCTTTTCTAATTTAAGGAAAAGCCTAAGATCGCAGAGCCACTGTGAGGACTTCGGTGGATGTGGAGATTTCCAATTAATCAATATCCTCCTTCTTGCCAGAAGGGATGCAAAGGCCAAGGCCTCCTTAATCCTATTTGGAATTTTTGAGTCTGTGTTAATCAACCCAAATAGACATAATTCAAAACTTGGCATAATCTCTAAATTAAATACTTCTGATAAACAGTTAGTAATTGCCAACCAAAAACTTGATAAAACAGGACAAGTCCAAAACATATGCGTTAGGTCAGCTTTATCTAAACGACAACGATCACATAGCTCATCTACCCCATGTTGAATTTTTGCCATCTTCACTTTGCAGTAATGAACCCTGTGAAGGACCTTGAACTGAATAAGGTTAATCCGTACACATGACGAAGATCTGTTAATTATATTCATAGCTGATTTCCAAGTTTCTTCAGGTATAGTCAGACCCAACTCTTTGTTCCAAGCTGTATGGATTTTCTCTAAATGAGTATTATGTGGTGGAGCAATTTTATTATAAATTCTTGAAATTAAACCTTTATTTATCATGGGTAATACAAGAATATCTTCTAGGAGAGTTTTTGGTGGCAGGGAAGGAAAATAAGAGCACTGATTACGCATAAAATTCCGAATTTGAAGGTATCTGTAAAAGGTGATAATTGAAACTTGACTGAAAGATCAGAAAAGGAAGCAAAGACTCCATCAGTGTACAGATCTGCAAATCTACTAACGCCCCTTTTATGCCAATCATTAAAAACCCGATCTATGGTAGCAGGAATAAACAAATGATTTTTACAAATAGGACCAAGATTAGAAAATTCAGTAAGGCCAAAATGCCGCCGAAATTGGGACCATATCCTCAAAGTGGATCTAACCACAGGGCAAGTTGCACAGGTCGAAATGGGTAGAGGTAAATTAGCTGTTATTAGGGCTGAAAGCGAGGATGAAGTACAACCATCAGCTTCCCAACCACACCAATTTAACTGTGGGTATTGATACCAAAGTGCTACCTTCTGCACATTAGCTGCCCAATAGTACTGCATAAAGTTAGGAAGGGCCAAACCACCTTCTTTCTTTCTGTTGTTGTAATAAGCTCTTATGTATCCTAGAGATTTTTCCTCCCCACACAAATGACAGTATAATACTGTCCACCATGCGGAAAAAGGCCTTATTCAGGAATACTGGAAGACACTGAAATAAAAACATAAATCTGGGTAGGACTGACATTTTAATGCAATTTATTCTACCTGCCAATGATAGATGTAAGGTTTCCCCACTTTTGAAGATCTTGTTTCAGGCTATCTAACAACGGTAGAAAGTTCTTCGAATAAAGTTCTTTAAATGATCGGGTAATATTCACACCTAGATATTTAAACCCTGTTACTGATATTGAAAAAGGCAATACAGTGCTGGGATGAAGGATATCTTTGTTACTTATGGGGAAGCACACACTCTTTGAAAAATGTATTTTATAGCCTGAGAAACTACCAAACTGTTTCAACATTTGAATAATTTGTTGTGCAGAAGATGCTGGATCAGATATAAATAAAAGCAGATCGTCTGCATACAAAGCTACTCGATGTTCTGTTCCTCTTCTCCAAATACCCTGAAGGTTAGTAGTTGTTTTAAGCCAGATCGATAAGGGCTCAATTGCTAATGAAAATAAACTTGGACTGAGTGGGCACCCTTGCCTTGTTGCTCTAAAAAGGGGAAAATAATCTGAATTTATCCCATTAGTAACTACAGAGACTTTAGGAGATGTGTATAACAAACGAATCCAAGATATAAAATTAGGGCCCAAACCAAATCTTTTCAGTACCGCAAACATATATTCCCATTCCACTCTATCGAACGCTTTTTCTGCGTCAAGCGATATAACAACCTCTGACGACTCTGACGGAGAAGGTGAATGTGGTGATGCTAAGGAGCCTACGGATATTCGAAAACAAATAACGACCGTGCATAAATCCTGTCTGATCTGCTGAGATTAATTTGAGAATTACCTTTTGTAACCTAGTTGCAAGTAACTTTGCAAGAATCTTCAAATCTACATTCAATAAAGAAATGGGTCTGTAAGAACTACACTCATTTGGATCCTTTCCAGGCATTTGTAAGGTTACCATTTGTAGTGCGAATCTGTGGTATAAGCTGAGCAGCTGCTCTAGTTTTGAGTTGTCGCGCTAAAAGTCGACTTGCTTTCTCTCCATTTTCATATATATATCCACGCAATTTAAGAAGGGCCTGTTCTGCTTCATCAGTAGACAGCAGATTATACTGTGATTGAAGTTTTATCTTTTCTTTGTACAGATGTGGGGAAGGACATGTTGAATATTGCTGATCCACTTTTGATAAATCATTAATTAACTGTTGTTGTTGTAATGTTCTGTTTTTTTTACGCAATGCAGAATAGGCAATAATTTCTCCTCTAATCACTACTTTCAAAGTCTCCCATAAAACTGAAGGAGAGATTGATTCAGTTTTATTTTCCAGGATAAAATTACTTATAGCAGTTGACACTGATGAGCAGAAGTTTTGGTCTGATAGTAACATGGTATTCAATCTCCATGGAGGTTGTGTCTTATAATGTGAGGGGAACATTAAATCTAAGGAAACAGGAGCGTGATCAGATTCTACTATGGCTTGATATTCTATGCTTTTAATAAAGGAAATAAGAGTTTTGTCAACAAAAAAGTAATCTATTCTGGAGTAAGAATGGTGGACATGTGAAAAAAAAGAAAAAGCCCTTTTATCTGGATAAAAGAAACGCCAAGGGTCAATGCAGCCAATCTGAGACAAAAACGATGAGAAAGTGTGTGCAAATTTTGAGATGTTAAATGTTTTAGAATTAGAACGGTCCAACACAGGGTCCATCACGCAATTTAGGTCTCCTCCAAAAATTAATCTGTGGGTATTTATTTCAGGTATTGAAGAAATTATTTTATGTGCAAAGTTAACATCGTCCCAGTTAGGAGCGTAAATGTTTATAAGAAGTACTGGAGTATGGAAAAGCAAACCAGCCACTATAATAAATCTCCCCTGAGGATCAGAGACAGTGTTCTGGGCAGAAAAAAGTACCTTTTTGTGAAACAGAATAGCAGTACCCCGGTTTCTTGCGTTGAAATTGGAATGAAAAATTTGGCCAATCCATGGTTTTTTAAGTCTAATATGGTCGATATTGCGTAAATGCGTTTCTTGCAAAAAAAATAACTTCTGCCCTCAATGCTTTAAGGTGGGAAAATATCCTGGCTCTTTTAACAGGTCCATTTAAGCCCTTTACATTCCAGCTAACAAAGCGAATAGCACCCCCTTCTGGCTTTGTCTTAATATTTACTCTATTAGCCATATGTACTTAGTAAAATATAAACTAAAATTATTCATCGACCCTAAGAAGATATAAGACTGCAAAGAAGAGTTCACATAATTAACATTGTCCTGACCATGAAATAACATATGAAACTTAACTCCAAACCGAACGAAAAAATAATTAGAAGGGAACAATTTAACAAAATCAACCATTGCCTATGCTAACCTCCTACTGTTTGGTCAACTGCAGGCTATATATCACCTAACTATATTTCAAGACTTCCAATATTTTTATACACCAACAATTCACAGCGGAGGAGGCCAATGAAAGGATAACAGATCTTGACGTCTATAACACCCAACTTATTTACAAACTTTGCAAAATTTGCAGCAACAAGAAAGCTGTCCAACTCAAATTGCACGGCTACAAGGCAAACTAGGTGTCTTCCGTGTCACTCTAAACAAATCCAAACATGTACTAATATTACACATTGCACAGTTAAGTCAATGTTCCAGCGGACTCAAATTGTACCTGTGTGAATCAGCCATCTCTCTGATTAAACACTGAAATGTTCTTACTGTCCTGGAGAGATCCGCTCTCGATAGAATTTCAAAGCTTCCTCTGGGCTGTCAAAGGTGGGAGTCTCATTGTTGTAGTTTATTCGCAGTCGAGCTGGGTACAAAAGCTGGAAACGAACGCCTTTCTCGAAAAGCGTAGGCTGCTCGTTTTCTCGACAAAACCGCACTCAGATCAGGGTAGACTCTCAGCTTGCTTCCTTTATAGGTTAGACCGTGTTCTCTTGCCCATCTGAGCACCTTCTCTTTCTCCCTGTATCTGTGAAAGCATACCACAAAAGGTCTAGGCGGTTGATCTGTTTTCGGTTTCAACCCAAGCGAACGATGAGCTCTCTCCAGCTTTGGGGGCTTAACGAAGGCATTCTGTCCCATCACCTCCACCAGCATATTCGAGATAAACTGAGTAGAGTCTTGCCCTTTTTCACTACCCTCTGGTATATTGAGAATTCGAAGATTGGATCTGCGCGACCTATTTTCTAGGTCGTCCAGGCGATCCAGGAGCGTAGCGTTTTCTTTGCTCAAACGCTCAATGATAGCCTCGGCCTGGGAGAGTCTCTCAAAGTTCGCACCAGCGAGAGCTTCGGCTGAACTAAGGCGCTCTTGGAAGGAATTCATTGTATCTCGCAAAGCGTCAACTGCAGCTTGTATTGGTCTGACAGAGTCTTGTATTAGGGTTGAGATGTCTTCCAAGAGGATCACTCGATTTTTTGCAAGTTCGGTGACTAACTGGTTCATTGAAAGGGAATCAGATGAATCGCTCTCGCTGTGGTCTGTTCTTTCCTTTTCTCTAGCCAGGGCCGACGTCGCCATTGTCGCTAGCTTTCCAGCTAACGTGGTGGAGGCTCTGGTTGCAGGAGGTTGAACGTTTGACTGCTTCTGTTTTGCGCTGCTCATGTTAGACAGTAACTTATGATCATCAAAGTTTGCTAACTGATTATCTATACCTCCTAGGCGTCGAATTTGTACTGAAATATAATGAAAAAAACAAGAATTGGCCCGGAGCTCCTCACTCGCACGTCTTTGCTCTAGTGCGCCATACCGGAAGTCCACCTCAGCATTCTTAAACCGTCTCTCTGCTTGTTTCTTTAAAAAAAGGCCCATATCCTACATTTATTATGTACTTTATTGTTTTTCTTTGAGGTCCACGTATGACACTAGTGTGGTTTTACATTCTTAAAACAGTCAGTAATTCAATTTTGCATGATAATTTCCCATCTCTTAAGCACACCGCCACTGGACTCTAGAGCAGTGGAAATGTATTCTGTGGAGTGACAAATCACGCTTCTCTATCTTGCAGTCTGATGGATAAGTCTGGGTTTGGCGAATGCCAGGACAACGTTACCTGCCTGACTGCATTGGGCCAACTGTAAAGTTTAGGAGGGATAATGCTATGGGGTTGTTTTTCAGGGGTGGGCCTAGGCCCCTTAGTTCCGGTGAAGGGAAATCTTAATGCTTCAGCATACCAAGACATTTTAGATAACTGTATGCTTCCACCTGTGTGGGAACAGTTTGGGGAAGGCTTTTTTCTGTTCCAGCATGATTGTGCCCCAGAGCACAAAGCAAGGTCCATAAAGACATGGCTGGGTGAATTTGGTGTGGAAGAACTTGACTGGCTTGCACAGACTCCTGATGTCAACCCCACCGAACACCTTTGGAATAAACTAGAATGGAGATCGCAAGCCAGGCCATCTGTCCAACATCAGTGTCTGACCTCACAAATGCTCTTCTGGATGAATGCACAAAAAAATCCCACAGACACACTCCAAAATGATGTAGAAAGCTTCCCAGAAGAGTGGAAGCTCAAATGTAGCTGCAAAGGGGTGGGGGGACTTCATATTAATGCTTATGGATAGATGCGGTAACCAATTATAGAAATAATTGTTAGTTGCAGCCCTGGCCTGTGGTGAGAAGAAGGCAAGCAGGGTGAGCTACATGCACATACCTCAGAGTCCTCTTCATTCTGCAGTGGCTGTGTGTAAGGATCATGTCTGCGGATCAGCGGATCCACCAAAAGCAAAAACAGCATATACAGTAGAAGAGAGCCAACCACAGACAGATAGATGATTATGGTCACCTGGAAAAGACCATAAAGAATACTGAAAATTTACAAATTAAACAAATAAGTAAACAGCACAGAAGAACAAGCATAGGATTAAAAGACCAGAAAGAATTTTTCAAACAATTGCACAACCCCAGGGTCAGAACTTTTTAAGTTTTAACTTTAAGTTTACTAAAGACTGAATTATACTTCTGCATCTGTGTGTTGGCAAACATGTGCCGGCATTTTGTGCAGACGTTCACATAGGTGTTTGCCAACATTTAAAGAGGAGATTATGTACTTAATATGTTTTTGCCAACATAGCATTTTTGCTTGAATGCATGCAAATTGTTTTAATTCCTGTTTTAAATGTATACTTGCCAGGGATATGACAGGAAAAGACACTAGTCTTCAAATTTTTTGTTGAGCTGACAAAGCCTTTTGCGATGAATGTACAGTGGAATAATATACCTTAATGGTGTTGCTGCTACGTTCCTCATACTTGCACTCACAAAGTAGACAGTAAGCCTCCACGTCGTGACCAGGGACTGGCATGGGCTCCACGACATGTAGACAGTTACTGTAACACACAATAACAAAACTCTGTCAACAGAATGATTTACACACCTGAATATCTAAACTTGTGATGACAAGTCTCTCCCACAATGAGCTAGTGCGGGTGCATTTTGAGGTTTGTACCAAAAAGTAACTTCAGTCTCATAAAAACTCATAAATCCCTACCACATAAACCAGCTAGCTAAGTGTGTTTCTAATAGTTGGGGCTAACATCGGACCAGCATCCCTTTATGGATAAGAGTGGGGATCATAAATATACATACATACATACATACATACATACATACATACAATAATACATACATGTGTGTGTATTTTATAAACATGCACATACATACACACAGTGTATGTGAAATGCACATAAAAACAAAAAGCAGTAAACTGTAAATCCACTTTGACCTATATTTAAACAAAGCAGTACAAAGAGAAAAAGTTAATTCATGTTTTATATTAAAAACGCCAAAAATTTGCAAAAATACACTCATTATCTGACTAACGCCTGCTGCAACATATTAAAAAAAACAATTGGGCCAGGAGTAATTCAAGACAAGGAACGTTATTTTAAATTCGTAAAACACTTTAAAAGAGGTGATGTAATTGTGCTTGATTATAGAAGGAGTATCCAGGAAAGGCCTTGTCCTTTATGGATAGGGATGGGTCAAGGCTCACCACTTTGTGAAAAAATGCATCAGCAAAATAGTCCAACTGTTTAAGAACAGTATTCCTCAATGAGGAATAGGATTTTAGGTATTTCCCCCTTCACTGTGCATAATATCATCAAAGAGGAAATCTGGAACAATTTATGTGCATGAAGGCCAAAAACAAAAACCACAAATAAATGCCCATGACCTTCGATCCTTTAGATAGCACAATATTTAAAAAATCACCACGTGGGCTCTTGAATACTTTAATAACCTGTTGTCAATCATTTCAGTTTGTTGCTGCATCCACACATGCAACCAAGACTGTATTATGCACAGGAAGCCACATATCAACAACATCCAGAAACACTACCAACGTCTCTTGTTTGAAATAAAAAAAATAAAAAAATAAATAAAAAATAAAAAAAACCTTGAAAAAAATCTGACTGATGAAAGTCAAACATGACAGTGAAAACAGTGTATTGTGGTCTGAAAAATCAACCTTTTAGATTGTTTATGGAAATAATTAACATTTTGTTATCTGGGCCAAAAATGTAAAGGACCACCCAGATTGTTACCATTGATCAAAAGCCAGGGTACGTCGTGGTATAGGGGTGTTTATTAATGGGTACCTTGCACTTCTATGAAAGCACCATTAACACTGAAAGATATATGCACATTTTGTAGCAATGCATGCTGCTTTTTAGATGCTGTCTTTTTCAGGGCTGTCCACACTTATTTCAACATAATGCCAAGACAGATGCGCATTATGAAGTGCAAAATATGACAGTGAATGCTCTGGACAATTTCGCAGCTTAAGGCTTATGTAACTGAAGAATGGCAAAAAATTTTACTTCTAAAATTGGATAAGATGATGACAGTTACCCATAAAGTGCTGTTAAAAGTAAAGGTGATGTAACACAGTGGTAAACATGCTCCTGTCCCAACCTTTTTGGAATATCACATGCTGTGTTTTTGTACTGTTTTCAATTTAATACAGATCAAACAGAATGTACTAATTACCAGTTTCTGTTTTTGTTGGCATTTCACATACTGTCCTAACTTTTTTGGAATTAGATTTGCACATTAAAATAATATCCAAAAGTTTGTAGACACTTGCTCATTCAATCTTTCCTCCAAAATCAAGGGTATCATAGGGAGTTTGTCACTGTCTTTGCTGTAGTAACAGCCTATGCTGTTCTGGAAGGCTTTATACTCGATGTTGGAACATATCTGTGAGAATTTGTTTCCATTTTGACATGAGATCATTTGTGAGGTCAGGTACTGATGTTGACAGATCAGTTCTTTGTCACAGCAACTTTACAACTTAATGCTAGGGAGCTTTGTACCCCTCTAGCTGATGCTTGGGACTTTTGGCTCATGTGCAGCTGCTAGAGTGTTCTTTCTATTGGCAATGCTTTTCAAGCTGTGTGTGTGCAAATAATTGCCTTTGTGAGCAATGAGTGGACCTCAAACTGCCTGAATTCACCAATTAGAAGGGGTGTCTGGATACTTTTGGACAAATAGTGATCAATATTTCTAGTCCACCATAGATGCTGAATAGAATAAAACTCACCAGTCTTTTTGGGACGCATTCCTGTTGTAGATATGGCCGCTGATATTACGGTACGGAGGGCAGATACACTTGCAACGCACATCTTCAGAGCTCTGTAACATTTTCATGAACAGTGGTAAATAACTGTTGTATATGTTTAGATTATACAATCAGGTCAATAAATATTTGGCCAGTGACACAATTTTTGATTTTCAGCTTTAATTCAAGGGGTTTAACAAAAATATTGCATTAACTGTTTAGGAATTACATTCATTTTTTTTTTTACATAGGCCCTCCATTTTCACAGGCTCAAAAGTAATTGGACAGTTCATTGATAAGCAGTTTCATGGTCAGGTGTGGCCTGTTCCCTTGTTATTTCATGATAAAGGGATAAAAAGTCTGGAGTTGATTTCAGGTGTTGAATGTGCATTTGGTAGATGTTCATGGGAACTCTCAATATGCAGTCCAAACAGGTGTCAATGCAAGTAAAGGGGGCCATCATTAGGCTAAAAAAACCAAATCAAAAGGAATAGGAGAACTTTAGGAGTCACCAAGTCAACAATTTGCTACATTATTACAAAGAAGGAACGCACTGGTGACCTCAGCAACCCCAAAAGGCCTGGAAGACCACAGAAGACAACAACTGGTGAAGCCCCTTCACAACATCAAGTTAAGGAAATTCTAGAGGAGGTTGGTGTATCATTTCTAAAGTCTACAATCAAGAGACGCCATCATGAATGCAAATACAGAAGGTTTAACTCAAGATGCAAGCCACTTGTAACACTCAACAATAGAAAGGCCAGATTAGACTTTTTTAGAAAGCATCTAAGAAGCCTGTCCAGTTCTGGAACAAGATTCTTTGGACAGATAAAACCAAAATTAACTTGCACCAGAATGCTGGGAACTGGATCACTGGCATTTACTGATAATGTGACTGTTGACAGAAGTAGCAGGATGATTTCTGAAGTATATAGAGCTATACTTTATGCTTGGATTTAGTCTAATGCTGCAAAACTGATAGGACAGCGTTTCACAGTACAAACAGATAATGTCCTAAAACATACCGCAAAAGCAACCCAAAGGCTTCTTAAGGCAGAGAAACGGAATGTTCTTCAATGCCCAAGTCAATCATCTAACCTTAACCCAGCTGAACATGCTTTTCACTTACTGAAGACAAAACTGAAGGCAGAAAGACCCACAAACAAGCAGCAACTGAAGGCAGCTGCAGTAAAGGCCTGGCAAAACATCTCAAGGGAGGAAACTCAGCATCTGGTGATGTACATGGGTTCCAGACTTTAGGCAGTCATTGGCTGCAAAGGATTTGCATCCAAGTATTAAAAATAGTCCTTGTATTTATAATGTCAGTTAGTGCAATATTTTTGTTAACCCCCTTGAATTAAAGCTAAAAGTCTACGCTTCAATCTCACCTTGACTGCTTAATTTCAGATTCACTGTGTGGTATACAGAGACAAAATTACAAAAATGTGTCACTGGCCAAATACTTATGGTCTGACTGTAGGCACTGTAGGTTTAAAATAATACTAAGAACATGTGTTCAGTAACCGCTGAAGAGCAATGTGAGATAAACTGAGGTGATGCAGTTAGTTAACCGTTAACTTACTTTAATAGCATGTGCATAAGACACCGCCTCACAGAAAACCAAAGCCAGCAAAACCAGCACTGCGGCCTGGAGCCCTCGAGTACCGGCCAACATTGTGCTCACTTCTGCGACGAAAACATTCAATCATTAAAGATGTCCATTCATTCCGAGATTTAACGTTACGTTAGCTAGCTACGATGAGAAAGAAGGTGTTTAAGGGGTGGTTTAATTACAAATCAGCTAACTAGAAGCTGTAAGATTGCCGAATGTAAACACAGAGAAAACACAAATAGGTCAAAACGTTTTGAGATTTTTTCACCATAAATTTAAGAACCCATCAGTTTATTATTAACTCAGAAAGTGGACCAAAACAGCTTACATAAATAAACCCAGCCAACAAGATCAGTGACAAAAATCTCCACTAATCTAACTTAATCCAATAGTTCTCTCTGTTGTTGACAGCTAGCACAGCAAGGGTAGCTAGCTAACCTAGCTAGGTTAACTCCGTACGCAGTCGAAATACAGTCGAGTCCCACCGACCACCCCTCCAGCCCACTGCAGGAATGTGTTTAATGTAAAACATCTCAGGAGTTTCACAAGATTCACTAACCTTTTGACTTTGCCTGCCAGTGAAGCTAAATAATGCCTTGGAGTGGCACAGTGAAGCAAAACACTAAATCCGCAACCAAAATCTCCTTCAAGTTTCTAAATTTCAAAATAAAAGCCTCCTGGGGATGGGGTGTGTGGATTCCTGTGCTAACGTGCACTTCGGGAAGCAAAAGTATAGTAGAAAACGGTTTCGCTCAAGAATAAAATGGACACTGTTTCTCTTATTTCCTCACTGCAGTATCTTTACTGTTAGCGGTACTGTTACTCAACTATAGCTTCCACTATTTTCCCACTATAGTAAATAGGACTAATGAGTGAAAACTTAGTTACTAGTCTTGCCTTCAACAGCTGAGTTTAAACTATATAATTAAGGGTACACTGTGATTTGGTAGTTCTGCAACTTTTCTCTCTTTGTAGATGAGGGATGGGTTTAACTTTATAGAAGTTGACAAAATTCAAGATGCAGTAACCTGGTGAAGATTTAAAGCCTCAATTCTTTTGTTTACACTGTTGTTGTAACAGATAAATAAATAAATAAACAAATAAATAAATAAATGAGGTTTATGTATTTATTCATGAATGGCTCAAGAAGTCTGTCTGAGCTTTCACTGCATCTATATTTTTGATATGTCTTCATACCAAGAATGTAGATGTCAGTGTTTAATAAAGCTTTATCAGTGGATATCAAAAATGTTAAAATCACTACGATAAATAATATATAGAGACTTAGCACTGAAGATGCCTCATTTACAACACAGTCTTCTGCACAGATTTGGGTCCTAAATTGACTGTGTGTGAAAAGTCATGTTAAAGTAGTGATTTATAAAATGCCGAAAACGTATATTAAGAACAAGTTTAGAACCCGGAATGACATTAAAGTACGTTTTTACAGAATAGGCCGCAGGACTTTTAAATACACATCTTACGTCACACGTGTGAGTTGTCAATACACCGTTTCTATTGGCTCCTTTGACTGTCAATCTCACGCCGCTGGATCCAATCGCCGAGCGACTTTTCAATATTACATTTTTGGCGGTAGTAAGAAGATGGCGGAAAATTTGAAAGGTAAGAGATTCGTTGCCTAAAACAACTTAAACTTATGATATACACGCAGTACTTTTACTGGGCAAAAGTACTGACGACCAGACGCTCGCTGTTTCAGTCGATAGCGTAATATAAGGGCCGTCCTCGGCAGGATGTTATTAAAGTGTAATAATAACTGCTCACTTTCTTGTGGTATGTTGTTTTTGGGGGAAGCAGCATTAGCGCCAAACGAACTACAGCACCGGGCCTTGGCTTGGACTCCCCCGGTCATAAAGTAATGTTCGCGTTGGAAACAGTAGCTAGTGTAGCTAAAGCCGTGAACTGTGTGTGCTTTTGAACGAGAAATTAACCCATTAAACTAACTTGGGTAAGATTTCATTGTCCTCGCTGTTCCTTATCTCGCTGGCTCGTGTTCTGGTTTGGTGTCCGAACAGCAGCTCGCTGTTTTAAGTTAGTTATCCGAGTAAAGTCAGACAACACACGATACCGAGTGTCTTTGCAGTGAAGTGTGCAAACTCAGCCTTTTACACGCTGTAATGTACTGAGCTGTGCGTTGCGTCGAGGACGAGACAATGTGCAGCAGTAAGCTGTTAATCCTCCGTCCCGCCACACAGCGAGCAGACTAACTGGGTCTATCTGTGTCTGTTTGGCTAGCCGAGTAGTTGGTAATTGGCTGCTGTTGTAGAGAGCCGAGTTACAACTTTAGTTCTCTGCTTTACAGGCCTCACTGTCAGGGTTTTTTTCTTGCTTTTTCTGGTAGGAAGCGACAATCGTTTAGCTCAGTGGTGCAGCTTATCCTAAGACTTAAAGACTAGAGGAAATACGGCTTTTGCCGCAAAAAGAGTTTTATATGGTACTAAAATACTCCCTGACAACAGCGGAAGATTTTTACTGTTATACACGTGTGTATATTTAAAGGTTCTTTAAAGAACCATGTACAGCAGGTCCATCATGGAGAAAAGCCATTTAAACGGGATCCATTTAAGTATTCAGATTGTTTCCACAGTAGAACAGCTTTATTTAAGGGTTTGTGTATATGTATGTATGTATGTATGTATGTGTGTATATATATGTATGTATATGTATGTATATATGTATATATATATGTGTGTGTATATGTGTGTATATATATATATATATATATATATATATATATATATATATATATATATATATATATATATGATTATATGATGAAGGACTAAGTGTGTGTATGTCTATACAGGACTGTGCAAAAGTCAGAGACCACACTTTCATTTATTGCAGTCCAGAGCAAAATTGGCCATTAAGTACAAGATATTTATTTTTCAGCATCAGAAAAAAGCTAGAAACATGATTTAACAGAAAATGACACAGAAACCTCAGCAACTAAGTATAATAGCACATAAGTATTTCAGTCTTGGAAGTTGGTTTCATTTTCTGTTTTTCTACATCCAAGTAATCCCAGACACATTTAAGGATGTTGAGGTCTGGGCTCTGGTGTTTCTTTTTTGTGTCCGTTTCCTTTTCCCAGTAACAGATTCTTGAAAGTTCCACTAAGTTGAGTTGTCTTGTCACAATGGAAAGATTTACAGAAACACGTGTGGATTTTAGATCTGAAGCAAGAGTGGAGCTTGAGTTTCTCCTCTCTCTTAAAGATAAAAGCTTTAAGTGCTGTTTATCTCATGGTGACCGTTTTGGTGGTCTTCCAGGTCTTGCACAGTTGTTAGGAGTCCTGTTTTCTCTGTATCTAAGTTTTAGAAACGTATCGTTTGACTTTTGCTAAGTCATCTAAAAAAATCTAATTGGAAAAATTGATTAATGACCTATTGGTCATTTTTGCTGGAAATAAAGTAAATGAAGGGAGGTGCACAGTTCTGTGTATATATGTATAGCACTCCTGGTCAAATTACATGTTTTATTGAAAATAAGTACACATCCTTCCTCACATCCTCCTGTTGTGAATGGTATTTCATTTGAGGCCTGTTCCATGCCCCAGCAAAATCATCATGGTAAGCTGTAGGCCAGCGGTGTTCAACTTAAGGTGTCCAGCACAGTTTGGTTATTCCTCTACTCAAACACAACCAAACCTGGCAGTGAACAGATGAGTTGAATCAGGCATTTTTGCAGAGGTATTTCACCCAATTGTGCTCAACACTGGCCTTCAAGGACAGGAATGGAATACCCCTACTATACACTCTTTATCATATGTTGTTCAGCCTAAGAGGATTGCCTAATACACAGCTTTGTAGAACTTATGTACTTTAATGATACACATTAATATAAATCTGTTGTCTGTTAAGATTGCAAAGTAGCATGTCTTGCTACTTTCAACCAGCTGGAGTCCATTTGCAGAGAGGAGGGAGTCGTCTGCAGAGACCTGGGGATCACCAAGAACAACTTGTGTCATTATGAAGTGGAATACCTTTGTAGCTACAAGCGTAATGTTATCAAAGTTGGGAAGACACAAGAAGTGCAGGTAAGACTAACAGTTTGCATGCTTATTTCCTTTTTATGTATTCTAATTCATTTGATGTGATTGAATGATTCTGTAGCAAAATCTTGTTATGGTCATTGACTGAAACAATATCCTTGTTTTGTGAAGCGCTAAATATTTTGCTTAATAAGCTGCTACCCTGAGTGGCCATAACAATGTAATAACAAGGGATTCACCAATATGGAGATTGTAGGCGGATGCAGATATCCAGTATTTTTCATGTACATATCTGCCAAAGCAGATACATAAACATTTATAAAATCTACCTGGATTAGCATGACAGAGAAATGACATTAATTACATTCATTTCTGGAGATGCAATAAATGGAATACAATGACATTGACATTTTCACATTTTTGCACAGTAGCCCAGCATCACTTAAACACTGTGCTCACAGAGTGCAATAAATATTTCATTAAATATCAGAAATATCAAAACTAAATATATAACTTACGTTCATCATCATGCATACATTGCAGTAACAAACATCATAATAAACATAAGACTATCTTGAAATTTGGGTTTAGACTATATGTTAGACTTACACTTTCTCATACAATTTGACTGTCAAATCCCTTACAAACTACATTATAGAAACTTCTGTGGTACAGCTAATCCATCTCATATAGTTTTGTAGTTTCCTATGTTCACAATCTCTCCACTTGTCTCTTTGTCTCACACACAGGAGTTTTACTTGGTGAAATGGAAAGGCTACCCGGAGTCAATGAACACATGGGAGCCACGAAAGAACCTCAAGTGTACAGATCTGCTCGGCTATTTCTGGGAGGATATGATGCAAGAGCTCTTGAGACGAAAGAAACGCAGCGTCCCCAAGAAAGTGGATGCTTCCATTGTCTCCCATGTCGTCCAGCGGGCAAAGCTCAGGCAGACCCTTAAACTGTGGGAGACTCACCTGAACAGTCTGGGTACCCACAAGGGCTGTATTTATGTTGAAAACCTGGTAGATATGGAGGGCCCACCAAAGAACTTCACATACATTAATGACTATAAGGTGGGTGACGGGATCTCTCTGAACGAAGTGGCTGTTGGTTGTGAATGTACAGACTGTCTGAACAATCCCGTGGAGGGTTGCTGTGCTGGAGCCTCACAGCACAAGTTTGCGTACAATGATTCTGGACAAGTGCGCATTCGGCCGGGGCTGCCCATATACGAGTGCAACAAGCGGTGCCGCTGCGGGCCGGAGTGCCCCAACAGAGTGGTGCAGAGGGGTATTCAGTATTCACTATGCATCTTTAGGACAGACAATGGCAGAGGCTGGGGGGTACGGACCATGGAACGCATCCGCAAGAACACCTTCGTTATGGAGTATGTAGGAGAGGTATGTATACGGCATGTATGGTGTTTCTCTTTTCTCAAATACAAATATTGTTGGTAATGTTGTTGCATATAATGTGCAGTAAGTGAGTCTTTTGCGTAGTGCCTAACTCTGATTTTGTGATTCAGATCATCACGACAGAGGAAGCAGAGAGGAGAGGTCACGTCTATGATAGAGAGGGAGCCACCTACCTGTTTGACCTGGATTATGTTGATGATGAGTACACGGTGGATGCTGCTCACTATGGCAACATTTCCCACTTTGTCAATCACAGTGTAAGTGAATGTGATGTGTTTTTATTATTTGATGAAGAGGTAAAAGCATTTGGGTTTCTTATTCACAGTTTCTTATTCACAGGATTTTTTTAGCATTTGTAATTAAGTGTAATTAATGACCACTGGTGAAGGGCTAGAGGATGAGTAACACATTGTCTATGGAAAATGGTCGGTGTTATAATAAAATAAAATGGTCAGAAAGTGTACACAAACACTGCTACGCCTGATATGCTCATACCTGCACAACTCACTCTAACATGTCACTTCAGTGTTGGCGTCACTGCTGTGCTGAGGTCCACCCAAATGATATCTGGTCAGTGGTGGTCCTACAAAGTACACCTGTACTATATGTGTATCTGATAAAATGGCAGTGTACGTGACAAAACACCCACAACTTACTGGCATTCTGGCATGCTACACTCGGCATTCAAGCCAATGGCAGGCCCAAAGTTTTATTACACACTTCTGTAACCTAGAAATAGTCCCTGTAGTTACTGAATAATAAGCCTTAGTATGTAATAAGCCTGAGATTTTAAGGGGAATTGTTACAACTGCCTGATAGGGTTTTTAAAGAGGGTTTCAAACAACAACAGATCGTAAGTTCTGTGTGTTGTGATTGCAGCTTATTTTATTGTGTAGCAGGTATTTCACTTTTAACTTTTTATCTGATTGTGATCTTTCACTATGTAGCATGATAGATGATAGCAGTTACAGTGATAAATGCATAAGTATGTTATTGTAGTAAGCGACATGTGCTGCTATGTTATGTACTGTGCTTGAGATGGTAATCCTAAATTCCATTGTTTTAACTACAGACATGATGTCATTATATCTTATGTTATAGTTCCATAGTTGTGTTGTTACTCCACCAGCCAACAACACCTGACCCTTTTTAAAGTATTTCTCATTAATTTTAGGAGTTTGGTTATTTGGTTTTGGAGATTGGTATCTTTCCTAAGCATGACATTAATAATGTATGGTTTTGGTTACATTCAATGCTAAGTTTCACCATATCTTCAGGAATAACTTGGCATCTTCAAGAAGGAATTTGACCAGGATAAATAAGTCTAAATGGCTGACACACTTTTCCAAAGAATATTTACCTCACTCTTTTATTCTGCAAGTAGCTGAGTGACTTATTTTGTCCAGCCCTTTTTTGATCTTTTTCCAAACAACTTTAATCTGCTGATGGAAGTTTGAAACTTGACTCAGCAAAATGTGGAAGCTAAACCATTTTCTGTTTTTAGTAATTTTAGCAAGTGAAAACTGCTAGGATTGCAACTCATTTTACTATGGTTGCAGTGTCATCAAAAAAGCCTGTGTATGTTCCTGTTTATGCCTAAAGTCATGTGTCAACTAAAAACAGAGATGTAATGGTGCTCCAGGAAACGCATATTTAGATAAGACTAGCTCAGATTATATAGTTCATTTATTTTTTTAAACTAGGTTTATATCCCTCTTTTAAACAAGGCAGGGTTATTCTTCACTATTAATATTTCAGCCAAGAACAGTGTTATTGGTGCTTGGTGTGCTACTAAATATGTACACAGTTGGCAGCGGGAGCCCTCCTGGTCCTTCAGTTTGGTGTATGTCAGCATTTGACATGCTTTGTGGTGTCTGAATACATTATTGCTTGCAATCTTTCTGCAAGACTAAGATGTAATGCTCCATTATATGCAAATATTCCCTTTTAATGGATAGTTTTAATTAGTCTTATTCTCCTTTAATTCACATTTAAAGAAAGATTCTCTCGGTGTATGTGTCCTTATGATTATTATAAAGAATCATATCTGATAGCAAGGGCTCCATTTCTGGTATCTTATTATAATGATTTTTTTTTTATCATTGTCCTTATTTTCATGAGTTATAGTTGAAATGGATATGCATAAAAGCCAGTTTGTGGCCATAAAACCATTCAACTAGTTAAATGTGATTTGTGACTATGCAAACGTCTGAATCTTTATTGGTGTTCAAAATAATGTCATTCTGTTTTTGTAACAGCAGAAGCTTCACCAGACAAGTGAAATTTCGCTTGATAATTTAAGTATCTCTTTCCTGTCTTCTTCTACAGTGTGATCCAAACCTCCAGGTGTATAACGTGTTCATTGATAACCTGGATGAGAGGCTACCTCGGATAGCTTTCTTTGCCACTCGCTCCATCAAGTCAGGGGAGGAGCTTACTTTTGACTACAAAATGCAGAGTAAGTGTTAGCCCCATTCCTTTTGTTTAATAGAGTTTGCATTGAAGAGTCATTTACCCTAAATGGACCCCACTTTCTAAATGGTTTTACCTAAATGAGCCCTGTTTTTCGTCAAAAGCTGATAAACGAAACAAAGGAGGTTGCCCAACTCACTGGCAAGAGCTCCATGTTACAGTAAATTGCTGCTTCTTGTCTTGAGTGCTTTAGTTCACTAGCTGTTCATTAATATTGGGAAGTCTACATCTTTGATAATCACACTTGAGTTCTGCAGTATTTGTAGTTCTGAGAGCTAATTTATCACTCCATGGCTAGAATATACCTCTTTTAGAAGAGTTTGATGTGGAGACAATGTCATATACTAGCATCAGCACAGCAAGATTTATGGGTTGAATAATTAGTTGCGATCTAAAAGCAGTAGGACAATTTTTTTTTCCTAAGAAACAGCCAAACACACACATTGGTCTGATTTAAGCACTGTGCATGAAAGAGAAAATGTACACTAGAGCTTGCCTATTAAAGCAATTAATCATTATGTACTACGATCGCAAGGGAATAAATCTGTGTTTCAACTTCATGAGGAGCCAAGATAAAGCAACTATGGGCAAAGTGAACTGCCCTCAGTTAAAAATATTGATGGGACCGTTGGAAAGCTAAAACTGCGCTGATGCAGGGAGTGACAACTTGATCACCACTGAACAGGAGACAGTCTAACATTTTTTTTTTTGCCCTCCTTTAATTATTTTGATTATCATTATTATTATTATTTTGACTGTCATGAAATGTTTTAGCCAAAGGCCATCAGTTTGTATAGTATATAGTTTTAATGTGCACGTGAATGTTGTGTTGTTTGTGACAATGTACTGAAGTTAATCTTTACTTTCTCCCTTTCTCTCCAGTTGATCCTGTAGACGCAGAGAGCACAAAGATGGACTCTAATTTCAGTTTGACAGGACTCCCGGGTTCGCCTAAGAAGCGCACGCGCATAGAGTGCAAATGTGGAGTGGCAACATGTCGGAAGTATCTCTTTTAGAAAACATTGGGGCTGTGAATTTGTACCATGCCAAATAGTCACTGAAAACAGTGATCTGTCAGAAGAGCGAATGTTATGAATTTATTAATTGTGTAGGAACAAAAATCCTGTTACAGTTAAAGAAATATTCAAAATGAATTTCTATTGTTGATAATTTGTTTAATTGTGTTATCTTAGTATATCTTGATGAGTTTGATGCATGAAAGTTCAGACTCGGCGGTCTTAGATGATATTTTTCCATTCACTCTTACGAATTTTTGACATTTCAACGGTTTCCTGTCATTTGGCATGGTACTCTTAAGACCACATTTCCCCACGTTGGAATTGAGAAAGTGTACAGTTCTTTGTAAATGATTTTCTTTTCTTCACCAAAAAAGTCAGATATGTATCAGTGTCAGTTTGGAAAGGGATTGTGCCTATTCTTTTTTATTACAAATTTTTTATAGTTGGGGTATTTTTTATAAGAAGCCTTTTTCTTTTTTTTAGTCAAACAGTAATTATAATAATTAGTACAATGTCCTTGAAATACAAAGGATATTTTTATCTTGATGCTGATTAAACCTAGTCTTCAACTAAACTACACTGCCAATGAGGATTCTCTGTTGAAAATCCTTTTTTTGCCTAAGTGTAATCTGTCTGGAAAACTTACCTGAAGACACGTGCAGCTTTGATTTCATTAAGCCTCCATTAGGGGGCAAAACTGTACCATAAAACTGTACTGATCGGACCATTTGTGTAAATTACATAGGAAAGAAAAACATTACACATTTGAGTTTCTTGTTCAGTTATTGGCTTGAATACTTGATTTTTACAGCTTTTTAGTTTTTATGTACACACTAGTGTGGATCCTGATGATTTGTGTCATATGGTGGTGCTCCATGGTGTTTTGTTTGAATAATAAGTGAACCATTTAAAGCATGCATGTCAAACTAGGACCTTTCAGGCCAAAGTGCTGCAGAGATTAGCATTTACCCTCATCTGACGCTCTTAATTCAGTTCATGAAGGCCTTGCTAATTAACTGATGGGCTGAAACAGGTGTTTAATGAGGCAGTGTGTTGAAGTCTGCAGTGTTTTGGCCTGCGAGGACTGGAGCTTGACACATGCGATTTAAAGGAAAAGTTGGTATTCTCTACTATAACACCTAAATGAAAAGAAATTCTTCTAAAGTGTAGCAGCAAGCAAAAAAAAAAAACCACAAAACAACCAAACAAAAGCTGGTGCACGTCTTTGTTCATTTGTTAAATTTACCTCTCCCCTTTTCCCTCACAGATTGTTTCCACGCTACCACACTTATTCTTCTGTCTAACCAAAAGAAACACAGTATTTGTAAAAATTGAGAACAGTGCTTCTGATATCAAATCCAGTCTTCTGTCCGGCTCTGTTGCTTTATGTGTACATATTGTCTGAATGTAACATTTAAGGCCTAAATCAGGTATTGCTGAAAGAGTTAACTAACAGGGCACCATAAACATACATGTTGCTACATTTTAGTACATGTAGTCCTGTAGTAAAACCTGCAAAGTACATGCAGGAATTCCTGTTTAGGCCTTTAACTCAATTTAGTAGATTTGTTTTCATTGTTTATATGTATTAGCAAATTAATCATGTCTGTTATTTGAAAGTTTATATAATAGAAAAATACTGTGAAATAAAAAAGCTTAAAAAGTAATATTACTTTTATATTACTTTTGTTTAATATTACTTTACTGAAAAGTAAATTACTTTTTCAAATGTTTAGGACAGTATTGCTTCACACATTGGAACCGATTCACGTAGTGAAACATAAGAATAATTTTCTCTTGATATACTATGCAGGTATCATTTGAGGTCAAGTATTAAGAGGGAAGTCAAAGGTCGACATGGCCTTGAGAAATTGCAGTCAAACTCAGATCTGAGTTTATAGTGGTGGCTAGCTAATTGCTCTGTAAGCTGAGACTGTGACTTCAGAGCAATGCGTGACCTTTTGCGCTGATATCAGAGGCTCGGGTCACGCCTGACAGACACCCTATAAGAAGTTGTTTCGTTGTCTTACTTGCTGGAAACTGTATTTTAGCCTCTGCATTGTGAGAAAGTATATATGGTGAAATTCAGTTATTTTTGACATTTACTATTATGTGCCATGACAGTGTGGAAACTGATATGATGCATAAACACATTAGATTTATCTACTTCATACCCAGACACACTGCAAAAGGACAACTGTATGAATCACCTATTGCACAGACAGCACTATAAAGTGAGGTTTACCCAACATGATTCAAACTTGAAGGCTTCATTCCAAAAATAGTAGTCAAACGTCTATACTGTCTAAAAGAAAAACCCATGAAATGTAAAAAGTAATGCTACATATTGAATGGTCATTTGAAGCCCAAATCAGGAATTGTTACACCCTAATCCTAACCAGGCTATTAGCACTGAGCAATAAATTGCTGACATATGCATTGTTAATAAATGCAATTTGCCAACAAGGTGGCAGGATCAGTTTATCCAGATCACCAAGAAACAAAATAAAGATGCTTGTGTATTAATGAATGTAAACTCAGGGGTTCAGACATGAGGAAGCACCAAGTTACTTAAGACATACTGACAGCAAAATTCCCGTTGATATGAAAGTATTCCTTGTGACAAGAGAGTAAACAGTGATACTTAATTTTGCATTAGCCAAGAAAAAGACCAAACAGATTCCCTTAAGGAAAAAGGCTGATCACTGCTTGAACTAGTACAAGCCAAGCCAAACAGCAGAGAGGTCACTTAATGGCTACTTATCAACTAGTATCCGAGCATATTTCCAGAAGATTAAGCTACTGCCCATCACTGCCGTTTGGAGACCCCTTTCATAGTAATGCAAATAACCAGCCGGTAAAGAGCAGTTCCTGACTAGGGCTTTAAAATTGTAGAACATACCTCGTCCTCCCTTTTATGGCTGTTGCTTCTCAACTGTTAGTATCCACTCAGGATGTTCACTGAACATCTATGTCAAAGTGCATGTAAAACCACTTACTCTAACCATCGGTTGAAGTTACCCATTAAATATTAGCCTATATTTACACGTTTTTGCTAATAGCTGTTCATGCTGGATGGTGCAAATATTTTTGATTTGAAGATATACATGACAGAAGGACTGATGTGTGCTGCACAGCAGAGGTGTCAATGTGTGACATTTAGGATTACTCAGTAATAGGTGATACCATACTGTAAATCATAAGCACAGCATACATAACAATTTCTACTTAAATAATTATATCCTATTATGTGTCCTATGTAAACACCACACACTCTAATATGAAACCAGATCTGCTTGCAGAAAAACTTTTGGAATTCAGAAAAAAGGCACTGGGGAGATGGAGAAGGATATGACTAAATAAAAACACAGGCAATCAGAAACAGAGGGAGACTAGGAACAGTCCCAAGACAAGGAACACGCTGGGTTCCTGGAACCCAACAACCAGGCAGACAGCAGTACAGAGGACGACAATGGCTGGGATCAGAGTCTGGCCTAGCACCACCTCAGGCTGGGCAGATGTGACTGCTAAGGTCTTACTAGACAAAAGCTGGCTTTCAAGGCTCTCTTGGGTCTGAAGGGGAGTAGGGTCATCATGGAACAGTTCAAACTCTTCTTCAAACTCTTTATGAGTTATCACTTCATCCTCTGTTGAGCAAAAGTCTCTGTCCTTGTCTTCAGGTGACACTGCTTCCACACTGGTAGATTCTGGGGATGTGTCAGTTTTGGAAATAGATGTCAGGACTGGGCCACCCTCTTTGAGAAGTGTTCTCGCAGAGGCAGATGGAGTGTCTACATCCACACAAAGAACAGCAGGCAACTCCTTCAGCACAGACCCTTGTCTTTGTTGATGTACGGATACCTCAGGGTCAGATGTAAGCGAAAGACTAAGGGTCACTATGTCCTCTCCTATTGGCCCTTGGTGGGTGACTCCATATGGATGCTGTGTACATGTAGGTCTGATGCCTGATACTTCCTCTCCACCTGCCTGGGTACTCTCCACCATCAATCCTGCTTCGTTCTCCCTGCTAGTTTCACTTCTGACTGTTGCATCATATATTGCTGGGTACATTTCAGGTTCCTTCACTGATGGACTCTCTGAGCCTGGCTTCTTTGCATCTGGACTTACGCAATGGTTGAGATCTCCCCCCTCTTGACTTTCACTGCCAACATTCATCTCCTTGAGGGAACTTTGCCATCCTGTCTCTTGCAGTACTTGCAAAGGTCTTTCAGTCGCATTAACCTCCATTTGATCAACTGCTTGATCTTGCATTGGAGTCTCAATCTCAACTATGTCTGGCTTGATTTCTTCTTCAGGTTTTCCCTCCACTTTCAAATCCTCTGATTCCTCTTCTCTCACATATTGGAGGCTTGGATATATAGCTGATGAGGTCATGTCTGAGTCAAAAGGCACTTGGACTGAACTCTCTGACTGGGGATCATCTTGATTTGGGGAAAAGAATTTGTCAGATTTGGTAGAAACCTCAATATCACCTTCATCTACCACTGTGTCAATAATGTGGGGTGTGTCAGAGTGAGATGATAGGTATTTTTCTGGGACTTCAAGCTGCATCTCCTTAGGTTGCTGAATGGACACAGTCAGGTGCTCAGTGGGTAATAGTGACTCAGTTGCTTGGACAACAGTTTCTGGATGATCTGTTTCTGATGGAACCGCAACTGAGTCCTGTAGAGGATGCTCACCAGAGGAATCTTTAACACTTGGCAGAGCACATTCTGCTGAAGTGGGGTCTTGTCTGGTATTAGAGGGGGAAACGGGCAATGCCTCAACAACCTGCAACCAAAAGGAAAGGTGTTAAAAGGTATACAATTACTGACTGTAGCCCATCAGTTGCTGCACAATTTGTCAGCTGCCATCTACTTCATCCATCAATGAAAAGAGAAAACCATGGCACTACCGCCTACCAGATATTGCTTGCTTATTAAGTAAGGTTTGACTAATGTCAGTGCCAACAAAAGTGGCAAGTTAGTGAGTGTTACGCTGAAATGTGCATCAGTCTCAAGAACTTCCATTTGAACATCTGTCTGATCCTATTTCGATTTCAGTTTCTGACTTTATTCCTCTTTTAAACAATTCACTGTCACTGCTGGGTTGAAAATAGTCCACCAACCAAAAATATCTAGCCAGAAGTTCTGTGATCAGAAACTGACTGAAGGGCCAAAAATTGGCCCATATGGTAATACTGTACCATATTTTGTTGCAGGTATATTTTTTAAGTTGCATTGACTCCATACACCATTGACTTCAGGCTTATTATTTTTCTATTTAAAAATATTATGTTATGAGAAAGATTGTAGCCCTTTCCTCTGGGGAAGGTGAATGTAGTGTACTTTAAAACTAATTTAAAGTATACAACTTTGGAACTTAAGAATCATGTTGTATCTTTTGTGACTATGTTTATATTGTTTGTACCTTGGGGCAATAATATTTACAGTGCCTTTTTTCTGACAGTGTAGGGGGTGACTAACACTGTGCATACCTTGGCTACAGTCAGTAGTTATATGGTAGGAGAAACTGATCAAACAGCCAATATCTGAGTGGTAGGTTTACTGATATCTATATACATATAGACAGAATGTTTACATAAAATGTATTATGCATTGATCAAGACATGATGTAACACAGTACCAGTAATATTTAGCCTTGTTTTATTCACACGCACCAATGAACCAAGTATCATTATTCCATATCGCGCATGCTGGTGTTTTACCAGTGTGTTTGGACAAAACACCACCTGCTGTGTGTACATCAATAATAATACTTGTAATGGTATTGACTTTACTTGAACTTCAAGTATAAGTACACATTAGCAAAATTAACATATGAGCGAGATGAAACTTTAGTTAGAAGTATTAGTGACAAGTGCAGAACTAATACACTAGTACTAAGTCTGTCATTACAATTTTGTTTGTGTTCTAGAATAGAGACTAGAGACTAGACTAGAGAGAGCATTATAGTGATCTTTGTGAAGTTAACCCGTTACTAGGGTACAACAATTTGTGCAGTACTGTAATTTAGTGTATTCAATGTGGAATAATAGTAAAACTAAATTACACACTTCAAACTGTTCTTATAGACTTACCAGTTCCACTTTTATCATCCTGCTGGTTCATTCCCTTTAGTTGTATTTTTTTTTTTTTTGAAAAATTATATCTGGTAAAGCCAGGCAGCTGTTTTTCAAAGAGAGAGAGCTCTACTTCATCTGAATTGCATTCAGCAAGCAACAGCTTTTATTACTCTGATGTTGTTCCAGTCCCCATGGCACTGAGAGAGAAAGGTCCTACAATTCATGGGTATCAGTGAATGCAGTAGGGAAAGAGGGAAAGTCTTAAAAGTAGCTTTGGGTGACATTTACATTCACGGATTACTTACACAATTTATTAAACAACAACAAGTATTAAAGAGTGTTCAATTTGCACATTTAGTGAACGTTGGACAAAGCATGCAATGTGGTTGAGATTGATGAAAATGTAAAAGTAAAAAAAAACAAGGAAGAAAATAAACAAGGACATATAAAATAACTGAAGCAAAGTTTTTTCCCCCCCATTGACACGTTTGTACCAAGTTCCAGAGAACTGCCAGTACTCTGTTCCCTCATGTTCAGTACAAAATGTTCTCGCTTTTCAAGAGTAATATGTTCCTTATGTAGGATGTAAAAAAAGTCAAAGGAAACATCTAATAAACCTCTTAGCTCACTTACTGAATGCAAACCTATTTATGCTATTGTTTTAGGTTTAACTTTTGTTTAATTTTGAACAATATTAATTACACAATACAACTGCGTTGCAAAAATCTGAAAAATTCTATTCATATTTAAAAACATGTAAAGGGTTTGCTCCTGTAAATCATCTAACTACAATGCATGGAAAGATATTACACAAGATGCACAAGATGTTATACAAAATATGATTTAAAAAAATGGATGCCAATAGCAGGGTGAAGGGTTAGCGTGCAGCGTGCACATTACCTAAGATCTTGCTGAAGCTTCAATGAGCTGTCCAGGTGGAAAAGCAAAACAAAATTACTATTAATTACATTACTGAATGAATACAACACAACGTAAAGCTGGGTGTGGTAAGCCAAAAGAGCCACAGCAGTGAAGACACTTGAACAAGTCGGTGACAAAATGGAGTATATGTTGTCCTAGTTATGTCACTTCCACTCACAATAACAACAATTACCATAAAAATAATCACTGAACCCTGTCAGATTTTCTAGATTTACTAAACGCAGGAAGTAAGTCAACTGTTCATAGCCCCAACAAAATGTGAGCTGTCATTTTCATAAATAAATTGATTTTGTAAAAATGTTGAGAGGTCAAATAAGTAGATGTTGTGATTGTGTTAGTATAAAATGCACAAACAGTGGGTTAAAGGTCAATTTGAATGCTTGATGTTTCCACAGCTAGGGTAGTATTAAAGGCTCCAATTTGCAAGTGTTGTTATACTGACAGACATGAACACTTTATATAACATGAGGACTGAATTAAACCTGACTGCATGCAACAATGCTAAATACAAAAGGTCACTATAAAGAGCAAACAATACAGCTTCAAAGAATAAACTAATATAAATTAATCTCTAAAATATGAGAATTATTATAAAAAAATAAAAATATATAAAACAATATATTAATCAGTTGTACTTGAAGCAAAAGTGAAAAAAAAATTATGTTAAAGCAAAGCATTATGTTTTCACATAGGTCTTATGGTCACAATGTATCACCTACAGTACTGTGCAAACATCAGAACGGCGAAACGGAATGGCTAAAACAGTCAAAATGGCCATTATTTTTCAGTAGGTATTTCTGAGGAGATTGGATACAGAACAATCTACATGGATAAAAAAAGTGAAAAATAGGATGACTGGTGTTCAAAACAATGATTTAAAGCTACAGAGAACGTAGGACTCCTAACATCTGCTCAAGACCTGTTAGACCACCAAAACTGTCACCATCCAATAAACAGTGCTTACAGCTTTCATCTGAGATAAAGTCCACTCTTGCTTCAGATCTGAAAAAATCCACAAGTGTAATCTTTCAATATTCTAACGCTATACGTCTGAAAAGATGTGTAGCTGTCAAGAAGCCGTTACTGAGAAAAGGAAACAGAAGAAAATTTGCAAATCAAACAAAGAAGCTGCTGGTGTTCTCAGATCAACTGACTGACCATGCCAGAGTCCAGACCTCAACATAAGAAGCAGAAAATGAAAACTTCTAAGACAAAACTATCTCTGTAGATTTTTAAAGACAACTTAAAGTAAGTCTAAGTCTCCTGAAACTAATCGAAGCTGTAATAAAGGCAAAGGTTGGACACACTAAATAATAAAAATAATGATATTATATTTAGTCGTGAAATTTTCTGTTAAATATGTTGTGTATTTTTTTTCCCAGAGTTTTACTGAAAAATGAATAACTTGTACTTAATGGCTGTTTTGACTGGAAATGAAATAAACAAAGGGTGGGCTAAAGACTTTTGCACAGTACTGTAGATCTACTGTTCCAAGCTACTATTCCATATATTTGTTAAACTAATGTTGGACACATAACCATCTAAATGTCTTATTGCAGCCCACCACGATGAACGAGAGAAATTTCCAAGGAAACTGAAGGTCTATGGTAATAATGCTGTTTACAATTTCAAATACAACAAACTAAAATGGAACAAATTCCACATGCAAAATCATATCAGCAATGGCTGGACTTGCCCAGACTGCGCTCACATTGATGCAATTTTTAGGAGTTTTTAAAATACATTTTATGTTTTTAAAGACTCCTTTTGCCTGTTTTTAATACTTTGAATAGTTATTATTTTTAAACTATGCTGCTGAAAGGTTTAGATTACTCACTACTGAAGTGAGCAAAGACTAATAGAGTAATAAACTCATTTTCTTTGTCTCATTCTTTTTTATTTGTATTTATTAGTTGATTTTAATTAATTTAACATTAGCATGCTTCAGACTACCAGATTCAGATTCATGCAGTTTACACACTTTGGGAATATATTAACTTTAATGATCTTCCCTGTGTGCTGCAAATCTCTGACTTAAACCCTACGCAGTCTGGTGTTAATGCAGAAAGCACAAACCTCGATGTCGATCTCAGGTTCAATGACGAGCGGACACACAGCGGCAGGAGCCACCACAGCTGCCTCTTCTTCTGTACCAGCCACGTCTCCTAAAATTAAATCATGTGTGATATATTGCTGAATCATACAATTAAATCAGGACTGATCTAAAGCTGACCAGAGACTGTTCTCACTTCAAAGTGAGCTGTAAATAAACAACACAACATGATGTAAAACAGCCTGATTAAATTGTTGCTTGTCACTTTGTGTAACCCTGTAGCACTCTGGAAGAAAATCAAGAACATGCTGATGAGTAGAGCTCAGCAATAAAATTAAATATAATTATATTTTCCTAATATATCAGAATTTCAGGTAATATTTAAGTTTGTATTAACAGAATGAATGAATTCATGCTTTATGAGTGCTGTGAACTTCATACAACATTATGATGTTATTCAGACAGAAACCTGAATTTCCACAATGTAATGCTACTATTTATTTACTTTTTTTCACGTTTGTTTAACAGTTTGTACAAAATAACCTGAAGCAACCCACTAATGACACACATGACAGTTAACTATGTTTTTGTTACCTAACAATATTGTTACAACTAAAAATCAATGCAGTTATGCAATACCAATACCAGAATACTGACGTATATAGATGCTGTACAGACAATATTATCACTCAGCACTATTGTAGAGAAATCAGTGCTGTTCTCTATGTGGCTAAAAGTTTTGCTATTTTCATACCTTCGTCCTTGTCCTGAAAGTCATAGTTGTAGTCCTCCATTCTAGAAGATAAACAACAGAGTTTAAGTATAAATAGCTAATACGTTGATGAGACGAGTGACCTACTTCAGGATGGTGTGGCTGTACAAGTTTAGAGGACAAAGAATTTAAGTGCAGTCTGGAAATTCAAGGTACTTGAATTCTGTTAGTTGAGCACTCAATTAAATTTAAAAAGTTAAATAAAAATGGCATCCTGAAAATGTGCTAAGGCAGAACAGCAGTAAAACATGCAGCAATGAACTGGAGAATTATTAAAGACGGTGAAAAGACATGCTGGAGCTTAACAAAAGGAGCGGAAAGAACCTATGACCCCCGTGACATTTGCCTGCATAGAACCGTCTTCGTGTGGCTCCAAGACGCATCATCTTCCAGGCCTGTTTTTTCGGACAGGGGCACGTACGCTCCACCTCTCAGACCTGTCACGAGATGTGCTGAAGGGGTATGAAAAACCACTTGATGGCATGTGCCTCTATTTCATCTACTCCATTTACTGCCACAGATCAAAAAACATTATTGGAACATCTTATGGAAAATGCTGGCTGGACCTCAGTGATCTGACACTAACATCTGTCAAAAGCAGCTTATGAAGGGCAGTCTTGAAGCAATGTTTATGCCCAGATGGTCGCTACCTGTCTGCATATAGGGACCAATGTGTGTTTTTTCCTTTTTAAGAAATCTGAAAAATGAGGACTTGCAGTCATAGTTGTCAGTTGATATCGTGTTTAACTGAAATGACTGCAGTATGTTTAATTTCTGGCCTTAAATAATTATATCAGCCAATTTTATTGGTTATCAGTAATTTTTGCTCCTTACAATTAATATCAGTGACAAAATTGTTAAATCGGTCAAGATCTACTGCATATCGAAAAAACAACATGACGCTCTGGACAGATCTCTTCAGCAATTATCTTTAAATAATGGTCGCTCTACAAACTTTTGACACTAAAACGTTGTGTTTATACAGCTGTCTTTAGGGAGCACTGGAGCAATGTCATTTGACATTTGGGAAAAGGTCGAAAGATCATAAGTGAGCTTGCTGGATAACGGAGCGCACTTCATGCTTATATTTTGATCTCAGATCTACATACCACTGCACAGTGCAGATTACTCTTTGTAATCTATCAAAAGCGCAAGAAACAAAGAAAATCACTAGGAGAGGCAGTGTTCGCAGATGTGAAGCAGTTAGCATGTACATATACTGCTGTTCGCCCGTGGTAATTTCCACATCTCTACCCAGCAACCCCTACAAAAAGGTCAAGTGTAGGGGCTGCGAACGCCAGGACTGAAAGCGACACCTCCCTTGTCCTATTTTCAAACCCCTCGTCCTCTCTAGGATAGCTGCCATTCTCAGGGGTGTGTGTTGTGTGCTGGTGTAAACGTGCATGCATGCGTACACACTGCTGTCAGAAGAGCTCCCCAATCCTCACACAATGTGATGGCAAGCTCATTATGCACAGAAATAGCTTGAGGGCATCACACATTGCTCGGTGAGAGCCCACAACAGAAATCCTGAAGTGTAGGCCAATCTCACAGTGACCCGATTACATGCAATGCTGCAGTTTGCATAACAAACACTGTGTGCAAGATGCTCTGCGGTGTTATGAGTGCTTGATCAACCTTCACTTTTCCTAAAAAAAAAAAGCAACAAACTGAATTTACTTGATTCAGTGTACCCCTGTCCTGTACATTACAACCCCTTCCTTAGTTGAAGTGGATGTGTTAGAGCAAGAACCAAAATAAAAATAAAAAAATAAACCTTCCTGGGGGTGGGTAATAAGTATTTTGCATCATTTTTAGATGGGACTGTATGTTGGAAGTGTTCACATTGTTCTGACTAATTGTGCATTTGTTGAAATGTTCTACTGTTTCACATATTTATATGTAGCTCCCTACATAAAACTATAGCTAGGATATTTTGATAGCCTAAACATCCTTGTTGGAAAAAGGTATCAGCGTTAAAAGAGTAATTATGACATTCTGAAAACCTAAATCAGCTTTTCAGGGGGTAAGTTGTAATGTTAAGCTGAGTCTGCACTAAATTAACATTAAAAACATAAGAAATTGTTTGAAACACAAAGGTACTATGCTGTAATAATGATGTGCGCATGCTCAGGAGGACCACTCGAGGGTTGAATTGTTAGAACGCTGTCTCTGGCTTCTAATGTTTTCAGACTGCAGGCTAGTATATCCACATCAAACGTGAATGGGAGAAATATGTTTATTTGGCAGTTTACTTGACAGATGTGGAACAGAAATTTGACACTGTCATAAATTTTAAACACCGTCACAGGTTTTTATACACCTTCATCATTTTTAATGTAGTAAAGGCTCTTCTTGGTTTCATGCTTAAATGGTTCTCTGCATAGTAAAATGGTTCCTCAAACTGATAGACAATATGATGTATATGGTTCTACATAGAACCTTTTTGACAATAGTTCTATATAGCATCAAAAAGGGTTCTTCTGTTGTTATGATGTCCAGCTTGTAACAACAAAAGAACCCTTTTTGGTGCTATGTGGAACCATTTTTAAAAAGGTTCTACATAGAACCATATACAAAACACTCTCCATCAATCCGAAGAACGATTTCACCATGCAAAGAACCTCTTAGGCATGGAATTGTTCGTGTATAGAACTCATGTTTCTAAATAGAACCATTGCCTTTACTAAAGAACCATCTTTTTTAAGAGTGTAGCAAGGTCACTCAGGACCTGGACTGTGGACCACTGTGATAGGTGTCTACGTGCCACCCTGCACTGATCTGCTTTACCCACCTGTACCTAGAAGGCTTCAGGATGCCTCTAAGCTCCACATCTTCCACCTTGCTGGCTTGCCCTGCATCCTCCTCATAAGAGACTTGCAGAGTAACCGAGTAATTCCTTCCCAAGTTATTCGCCCAGAACTCCCCGTGGGCCGTCCCGTAGCGCACGACGAAGTCGATCCGTGCTCCGTCGAACAGGTAAGGCTCGGCGAACGACAGCCTGACGCAGAAGACGTCCGTCTCGTCGTCGTTAGAGCCGTGCACATACTCGGCCGGGTTATCGAAGTAGGTGATCCACCCATCCATCGTGGAGCGCACGTACACGGACTTCTGGAAGGAGACGTTGAGCACGCGGATGAGGCTGTCGAAGGAGAGCGACTCACCTGGCACGGGCCTCACGCCCTCCACCTCCACCTTGCTGGCGCGCACGGCTTGCACCAGGTCGCCCCCGGAGAGCGGCTCGAAGTCCGGGCGCACACGGTACGTAGGCTGGCGGTACGCTTTCTGGTACTTGGCCTCCTCCTCCTCCCAGCGCGCGTTGTTGCCCCCTTCCTCCTCATCGTCCGAGTCGAAGGGGACGAACTGTCGCACGTCCACCAGATCGCCTCCGCACGCATCCGCGAAGGAAACGCTGCGCCTGGGCAGCGCGAGGCGAATGCGCATATATTCAGCCGTCTCGTCGGCCAGCGAGTGGCCGCGCTTCCTGGGCACGGGAGAGCAGCGCGGGATGAGGCGCACGTCCTCCTCCTCTTCATCGTCGCTGTTGTCGTCCTCGTCGTCTACGCCCATCTCCGCGCTTCGCTCCCTCCTCACCGCCGCGAAAAGGCCCTCCTGCATGGGGATGGTTAGGAACTTGTTCTCCTGCGCCATCGTGCCGCTGCTCTCCCACCCCCACCAACCCGCGTTCGTGTGAGCCGCACGAGCCGTCAGAACGAGCCGTCCGGCATAGCAGCGACAGAGAGAGCCGCTAACGTTTCAGCCAAGCGCCCGCTGCTGAAGGAACTGAGGGAGAAGTCTAAGCACACGAGCCTTACATGAGAACAGGGGTCAGGGTGAACCCACAAGAATGTGGTTAAATTTAGCAGGACGCTGCGTGTCCATCGTTGTCCAGGGGTCAAAACACAGCTGAAGTATTTGATGACATAGTCCCCCCCCTTCCTCAATATCAGAGTTGGTCTGATCCACACTGACCACGCCCCCCTGATCCACTTAAAATACCACGAGCGTCTGTTCCAGTCAGGAGCAGAAATCCTGATAGTGCAGCAGGAAACGGGTTTGAAAAGTACTGCTATTATTATTAATATTATTAATATTACTATTATTATTACTAGTTGTAGGAGTAATAATAATAGTGGTAGTAGAAGTAGTAGTAATAGTACTAATAGAAGTAGTTGTTGTTGAAGCTAGTAACAGTAGGTAGTGGCAGTAATAGCTAGCAGTTTTAGGCTAGTAACATACCTAGTTAACTAGCTAGCTAATTATTGCTGTTGTCGTAGGCTACCTGGTCCTTGATGTGCACTTGCACAGGCAGGTTAACAACATTTCCAGTCTCCTCTGGTCGTTTGGTCAGAACTCCCACGTGATTAACTTCTTATTTAGACTCTTTTTCACTCTTTTCTAACTGTTCAGCAGGTTTCTGTGGACAGAACCGTGCTATTCCCTCAGACTAAACATGGAGGATCCTCCCCTGTCAGGTTTCCATAGAGCTCTGCGCCGCCGTCACTGTGCTGCTTGCAGGAGCAGCAGGTCTACTGTTGAAAAAACAAGGTGAAATTGCAAATGAAATGTGAAGTTATTGGGTTTTATCATTACAATGTAATAAGTTAACAGTGGGCCGTGTCATATCGTATTATACGTAGTATAATAACACCTGTACGCTTAAATATGCCCAGGGGCTAACAGTTCTGCTCCTAAAGTAATATAGAGGCTTATTGTTCTATCTCAGGGACGATTAGCTGTCAACAGATATTTGTTATCATTAAATATATCTTAGTGACAGGGGCTGAATGAGATTAAAAATGGCCTCTAAATCCAAGATAGCTTAATAAATTCAGCCACCTCCCTGCTAGTCTATAGCCTATACGAACTGATAAAGTAATGAGAACTGATAAACAAATGAGTTTATTAACCCCTTAAACTTGCCTATCTAGACGTCCAATTCTTACTGTCATAGCTGCATAACTTATGTATTAGTTTAATAGTAGTTACTCAATAATTTATTGTAGTCACTGCATAATTAGCCTTAAGATTAATAATGGAATGACAATCTTGAAGCACTGTGCAAACTTTGGGGAAGACACTTTTTAAAGTTACGCAAGATTTATTTAATATTGTGAGGCAGCAGGGTGGTTGTAAAAAAAGTATATAGCTCATATTATTGCTAATATTTCCCAACAATATGACACCAATCATACTGCGTTATCATTACAAACACACCACATGCACACTGAGCTGTGCCAAAAAGAGTCTCCATCAATGCTCAACCAGAGTTTAGTGAAGTTTTATTTGTATCAGCATAATGTGACTATTATCTATCTACATTGCAAAGCATCCACATATGTATTTCCTGTTAACATTATTGTTTGGGTTTGTGTTTTAATGTTGACATATAATAATTCCTAGTTTTTTGTACAACATCTGCAACTTTCATTGGTGTTAACATTGTATATGGGCATTAGCCTCTCAATGTTGCCACCTCTCCACTTGTCAGATTAAGTTTGCACACTGTCTTGAAGATAATAACTGCATGATAAGCCTTAAAATTAATAACTGACTTATAAACTTAAAGGGTTATGCTCATAAACTACACTCAGTTCATTCATGTTAGGGATAAGCTGTAAAGTACATTAGCAAACATTTTGCAGGCAGGACAAAAATGAACTTCAGTAATGGCTGTCTACTGCAAAACTCAGGAATGGTGTTAATTGTGTGTTGACCAGTGTTAAACTTACTGATAATTCTGCATGTCTAACACTCAACTGCTTACACAGCACGCAGTGGAAAACTGATTCTTGGAATGGAAATTGTTCAGCATGGTGACACATTATATGAAATGAATATGAAGAATTATAAGATATGATAGGCAGGTTTTTAAAATGCAGCTATATTTGGACAGACAGTTAAAACAAGAGTAATGGAAGAGAAACTGAAATATTTCCTGAATTTATCTGCATAAGCATAGTACTGTTTAAAAATACAACAGAACTACCAATTCTGGGGAAAACAGAACCATGACTAAAATACATGGACTCATGGAGGATTCAGGTGAGTAACAGAGATGCCTCTGGTTCAGCAAGCATTTTTAATCTGACCTTATTGCCCTATTAAAACAGTGATGCAGTACATTAAACACATGCTGATGTGTGGTCAAGTGCATGAAAAAAAGCAAAAAATATCATATTTTCATGTAGACAGTAATATTAAAAATATCTTTGCGGTTGTATAAAAAGTGACAGGAAAGGTGTTAATTGTGTGTAACTTACACTGAAATTTACTGGAAATATGCAATATTTTATACAACCCGAAAGAGACCAGGATTTACATATTTTCTTTATTTGACTATAAATGACTATATTTTCTGATATGTGCTACAGTTACCACTAGACAAATATAGTTTTGGTGGGCAGTTTACCTTGAATGTACTTAATAAGTAAACAAAATCAGTAAAGCGTGAGCACCTCCAGTCAAATTACACATTTTGTTGAAAATAAGTTATCATTCTCTAGAGGGAACAAACTTAAAAATGGCTTTTTCTGCTAATTTTAATGCTCTATTTCTATTAATTTGTTGAATTTAACATATTGAAAAAAAAAATAAATGTACAGTCGTGCGGTTGTATACAAAAGTATGGGTGCTCCTGGTCAAATTTGTAGTTTGCAATAACTTAGATATTGAATAGAACGCTGATTAGAGCTTGCAATTTTTCTTTGCAAAAACTGTAAAACTTACCAACACTCAAAGCTTTCAGCTGTTTATTTATTTATTTATTAATTATTTTCAATATATGCTTTTGACAGTAGTTTGGAAAAGAAAGCCAAATCTTAATCAGGGCAAAAGCTGCTCTTGTTTTTGCTAAATATAACCAAACTGGATAGTTGTTGTATGTTAACAAACCCTACAGCTTTTTTCATTGAAAACTATGCAGTACTTGGGTGAAGGTGGGGTATATCATTTCAAAAACCTTAGGTTTGAGTTTACTTTCACTTTTTTGTATTTTAGAATAATACCAAAGGATCTTACTAAATATTATGTTTGTCTTTTAAAGGCTTATTCTGTCTGCCACCCAAAAATGTGACATGAAATGTAAGCTAAAGAGAAAGCCCCCTACTATAGATCTGTTTGTAGATAAGGTTAACTATTTGCTCTAAATGGAGATGATGATGCTTTTACAGAAAGAAAAAAGCAGAAAGTACCAGAGGGAGAGGACTTTTTATATAGCCCATACCTCAAAAACAGTACAATATTAATGTATAATGCATTCTTATAAAGATACTAAAGCACTGTATATCTACATATGCACACTTGTATACTGTGTAGATGTCTGTGCCTGATCTGAAACCTACCTTCAACCTCATGTTTGTTCCTGTTCCAAAAAATGACAAAAAATAAAGTTATAAAAAGGTAATTTATGCAGTATCAGTGGAAGTAAAAAAGAAAAAATGTCCTAAAATTTTTGGTGAACAGTGCAAGCAAAACTTCGGATCAGAAGAATGATAGACTGTAACTAAATGAGACATAAATATGTATATAAGACATAAATATACATGATGGGAAATATAGTCTGGAAAAACATTAATGTTGCATTTCTGCTGACCAGTGTTGAACTTACTGATAATTCTGCATGTCTAACACTCAACTGCTTACACAGCACGCAGTGGAAAACTGATTCTTGGAATGGAAATTGTTCAGCATGGTGACACATTATATGAAATGAATATGAAGAATTATAAGATATGATAGGCAGGTTTTAAAATGCAGCTATATTTGGACAGACAGTTAAAACAAGAGTAATGGAAGAGAAACTGAAATATTTCCTGAATTTATCTGCATAAGCATAGTACTGTTTAAAAATACAACAGAACTACCAATTCTGGGGAAAACAGAACCATGACTAAAATACATGGACTCATGGAGGATTCAGGTGAGTAACAGAGATGCCTCTGGTTCAGCAAGCATTTTTAATCTGACCTTATTGCCCTATTAAAACAGTGGTGCGGTACATTAAACACATGCTGATGTGTGGTCAAGTGCATGAAAAAAAGCAAAAAATATCATATTTTCATGTAGACAGTAATATTAAAAATATCTTTGCGGTTCTATAAAAAGTCACTATCATATACAGGTATCCTGTGTAAGAATAGTAAACCACTTAGTTTTAAGATTTACTGAAAAATTTAAGATAAGGAGGAAAGAATAATTAAAAAAAAACAAATAAGAACAAATGACACTAATATACATATCTAATACTAATACTACTAATCTGATCATTGCTAATATCTAGTGTCCGTCTAATAACTAATACTAATCTGACCATTTTTTGACATCATTTGAACACTGCAGCCACCCTTACATTGTGTGAATAAATGGTTAAAACATTTCATGATGGGGGACCAGTAAAAATGCTTCATAATTACTTAGAATAAAATCACTTTACGTTAATTTACATTATAAGTGAAGAACATTTTTGCCTTCTGTAAATTCATCATTTTGAAGATGTTTTAAATCTCTGTGTTGCACTTATCCACCTAAAGAGGAATAGCTCTTCCATAGAATGTTACTGAAGCTCTTCTGTCAGATGTTACTGAAGCTCCTTTATTGAACACGATTGAAGCTCTTTTGTCAAATGTTAGTGAAGCTCTCCACACCGTTAGTTCACTTATTCTCCTGAAATGATTAAAAGTAGGGCTGTGTAAGAAATACAATATATGCATTTTCTCAAAAGAGATATAAAGCAAACATTTAATGCTACATTGTTTATTCTGTTTGCATTCACACACTAGTAGAATAAACAGTAATGTCTTTAAAGCAGCTTCAGATCTTGTGTCACATTAGAAGCTACTTTTTTCTCTCTGTTTAAAGAGGTGCTAAATTGTTTAGTCTTAAGTCTTACATGCTACAACTTGTGTATTTGTGATGTACAGTCGTTG